AATATATGTCTAATAAGATACCCTGGAGTGTCTGCTTTCTCAAATGGAAGGCCTTTGTGGGGTTATTTGAATAGTCAAACTGCTATAATGCCACAAATTCAGACATAGGACCATCCATGAAAATTCCAACTATAGAAACTGAAATAGCATGGTCTCCTATATGGCATTGTAGCTTCACAGAATAGTGACAAAGGCATACAATCAGGGTATTGTTGTACTCAGCAGATGTAGCTGAATACAATATGGGGTTCTGTACAGGAATAGCACACACCAGCTTTACGAAATACACATTACAAAAACCTTGTTGGATGTTTGTATGCCAAAATAGAGAAAAAACACAATTTTACTCCAATATTTAGCAGAGATTGGCCATGTCAAAATAACATTAGGTAAATAGCCTGTGATGTCTACTTTATATAAATATATACTTTTGTGTGGCAATTTTGTTTTCTGTGATGGGTATTAAATTTCCAAGTCAAACATATCAACTTCTAAAATTGTTTTACATTGAAATTTTATTTTAGACCTTGTAGTTTGTGACCTGTAACTTTCAAAATAAACTGAAATCCTACACATATTATGTTCTCTGTAAATTAAGACACATACACGAATTGATTTTAAATTACTTTTTCTAAGATGGACATATTATGCACACATTATTATTGCCAAAACTTGCGGGGGGGAGGGGTTAGAATGGGGGGGCTGGCAAAGACTTCAGAAAAGAGATCTGAAGCTTTTGCAAGCTTTTTTAAATATACCCCATTGACAAAAAACATAATTAAATGCATATATGTTTGCATTGGGGTTATATATACTAAACAGTGAGTTTTATTTATTTGTGTTATTTAGGCAGTATTGTGTACCTTTACAGGAACACTTCAGTTCCCTAAAGCACATCAGTATGTTAATTGTTTTATAACAATGTTGATTTTTTTATTTTATGAAAATGCAGATTTTAAAAGAAAAATGCAATTTTATAAATGGCATTCATAACACTTTTCCAGCTGTCAGTCAGTTTGCTGGGGGATTCCCACTCCTTCACCGAACAAGTATTCAAAGCAGTAGTGTGCCCTTCTCATAGAGAAGCATTAGAAGTGAGTTTATATTAGTTTGTACATTAAAAACAGGGAATCTGGGGCGGCGCCTGACTTCCGGTGCGGATGGCTGCTCTCTGCTAGAGCTCCGTACCGGCAGGCACAACATTAGCATTTACCGGCACGTATACCCGACGAACGGGCAGCACACCCGGTCCCCAGCATCCCGGCCACGGCACTCCACCGACCCGACATGGGAGGGGGGCGCAAGACTAAGCATGGCGCGGAGGTAGCGCCAATCTTTCGCGCCCGCAGGGAGGAGAGCTCATGTGGGGAAGATGGCCGCGAGGAGGACTCAGATTCGGCGGCAAGTGACACCAGCCGCACGGCAGCCGCAGCACCACTTACAAAAGCTGACCTCAGGCACCTGCTGCAGGAGATCAAAACCAACATGGCTGCAGAGTTTTCCAGACACCTGACTCCCATCACTGAAAGCCTAAATGACCTCACACGCAGAACTACTGCCATTGAAGACCAGCTGGACCGCACCTCCATGCAGGCACAGACAAACGAAACCGCCATCTCAGCACTACAAGACCAGGTACGCCTGCTGGAGGAGGCCCAAGAGGACCTCAACACCCGTTCCCGCCGCAACAATATACGAATTCGCGGGGTGCCAGAGACGGTTGGAATAGACATGCTGGCCCCCACTTTGAGAGAGCTTTTCTGCAGCCTACTCCCAGAGGCCTCACCGGCCGAGCTCCTACTAGACAGAGCCCACAGGGCCCTTAAAGCACCCCTCCCGAACGCAACCCAGCCCAGGGACATCATCATCCGCATGCACTATTTCCATATAAAAGAAGCGCTGATGAGAGCGGCGAGAGATAACCCACTCCAAATAGAGGGGCATCAAGTCTGCTTTTACCAAGACTTAGCTCCAAGCACGCTACGCAAGAGAAGGGAACTCAGACCCCTAACCTTGGAGCTGGCCAGGAGACACATAAGATACACATGGGGCCACCCCTTCAAGCTGCAAGTGAGACAAAACAACCGGGTACACACTCTGTACCATATCTCCGAAGCCACAGCATTCGCGGAACGCCTGGGCCTTCCGGCCATCGACCTCACCACCGAACTGCCTGACAGACGCCCAGCAGGAATACTTTCTCCAAGGGGCCCGACACTGCACCCGACAAGGGCTCCACCTCCCAGCAGTCCTCACCCTCAACCGGCCACCTAAAGACGTACAGATGACCGCACCTCTACGACATGGACCGTCACCTGCCACACGACCCTCACCGATTCCACGCTGCCAGGACAACCGAAAACACACCTCACAGACCACCGGACCCACGGCATCGCACGCCAGGAGAACACGAACTGTCTGACCACAGGTCGCCCGGAACCAGATAAGCTATGACTTTACCCTAAACAGGACTAATTATGTGGCAACACTATGTTGCATGCTTTAACTCTAAGCTTTAACCCTACATTTACAGCCAAATACGGCATGGGAAATCACGTAGGGGGGTACAAAACAGGGGGGTGGGGGAGGGAGGGACAACACAAAGAAAACACGGGGGGGGGAGGGGAAAAAAAAACCACACCACACACGCACCACCAGGACCCCCGGGCCCAGCCGCTAGCGAGCCCACTACTAGACCCCCAGATGAACCCACTTCAGCTGACCACAGAACCCATGGGACCCCGCTAATCTTACACTCCCCAAAGGAGCCAAACACAAACCACTGCCCCCACAGGGGACACAGGCTGCCAACCCCGTTTCTGGACATTAAAGAGGGAAGGGGACACTAGGCAGGGAGTGGGAAACACGCCCAGCTGACCCCGGCACCTGACACCTGCCTGTAGGCAGGCACCCAGGGAACCCATACAAGCATAGTCCCCCAGACAACCTAGCACACAGACGGAATCGGGCCCTATAGGGGACTATAGGGGAGGGAAAAAAAAAAAAACCCAAAACCAAAACAAAACAAAAAGTCCTCAAAATGGGACTAATAAAAAAAAAAAAAAAAGGGAAAATAGAAAAAAAAAAAACACACTAAAAATGGGATAAACAACAAAAAAAAAAACACATGCAGACACAGATATGCTACTGCACTCGAGCCCATACATTCAACGCAGACCACTGATCCTGGACTGACGGGCAAGCCTATCTCCAGACAAACATCGAGCCAAAATAATGTAGGGGGGTGACCCCTGGGGGGGGACCACGTAACTAAGCCACTCAACGCACGAACACGGGGCACCCTGTACTGGACGCCCCCGGGCACCTTTCCCCCTGCCTCAACAGATCACTGGAGGCACTCTAACTTCCAGAGCACAAAGACAATTCATATTATGGTACACTCATATTGTTGCAGCAATGTCTGTCACTGTTCTGCATGTTATGTATATTTTTTCTAAATGTCTCATTTTCTTTTGTTGTAACATCATCTCTCCTCTGGACCCGATCACGACCACACCACGAAAGGCACCCACTGACGCACCGGACGCGACACAGACAAGGGAGCTAGCGAACGCTAAGCAGACGCTAGAAACACATCACCAGACCCTGGCGGCACGGACGCACTGACCATACACGCCACACCTTCATACGAGGTGAGGAACGATAGACATGACTGTCACAATCACTACTCGGACCGACCACCACCTACCAACGTATACGATTCAATACTCACATTGCCTGCCGGCAACTCTGCTAGAGAGATTGCCAACCCCTGACGACACGACACCACTAGGGTACGAACACCCACCGAGCGGACAGACGCTCACCCCGCATACCGCTGGCAACAATATAAGCCCAGCGGATCACCCCTACTAACATTCAACCCTCACCCCCAAAACCCCCACGAACCCCGCCCTTCACATAGATAAGAACCCCAACACCCACTCACTCTCTCCCCATCCCCGAGGCCTCGGACCGCCCGGGAGCGCGGCCCCCAACCTCTTCACACTCCCCACCCCAGAGCCCTAGCGATAGACCAAAACACCATGCCTGTAAACCTACGGTGCGTATCCATTAACGCAAAAGGGCTGAACTCCCCCGCCAAGAGACATGGCATACTAAGATGGGCTCACAAACAAAACATAGACATCCTACTTATACAAGAAACCCACTTCACGGCCCAACGCGCTTTCCCCCTCACCAACAGACATTACCCGAAGAGCTATATGGCCCCTTCCCCAGACTCCAAAACGAAGGGAGTAGCCATTATTCTGAGAGCCAACTGCCCCCTCTCAGACGTGGTATGCAACAGGGACCCGCAGGGACGCTACGTAACCATACAGGGGAAAGTGGGCACTACAACCTACGCCTTCTCCTCGATCTACGCACCTACGACACCAGACGCCTCATTCTGGCAACAACTGACTACACACCTCAACACTTACTCGACTGCGCGACTCGTGGTCGGGGGGGATTGCAACGCAGTCCACACCCCAGCCGCCGACAGGACCTCTACTGCCACGGCACGTTCTCGCCCGTCGCAGAATGATTCCCTATTCCACCAATTTCTCGCCTCACAAAAACTGATAGACATATGGAGGGCACAACACCCGTCAACCAGAGATTACACGTTCTACTCCCACCCGCATGGCACGTATTCACGCATAGACCACTTCCTGGTGACCCCTAACTTAGTACCACAAATCACTAAATCCGAAATCGGCTCTATATCATGGTCCGATCATGCGGAAATAGCTATCACCCTCGCTCTACCGTCGATTTATCGACAATGGTCATGGAGACTGAACCCTCTTCTCCTGCATGACAAATCAATCACCGACAAAATAGCTAACGAGCTGAAAGAGTACTTTGACCTAAACACACAGGCGGACACTGCGCCCGCCACGATATGGGCCGCCCATAAAGCGGTCATCAGGGGCACTCTCATTAGCCTGGCCACCCATAAAAAAAGACACACACAACAGCAAATCACTGACGCCATGACGGAACTCCGCCGCCTAGAAACCCTACACAAAAAGAACCCTAACCCCACCACGCTAACTAAACTGACAGCGACCCGGGACCTCCTCAAAACCCTCACACAACAAGACACCTCCAAGGCCCTGATGTGGCTAAAACGGACGTACACAAGGCGGACACTATGCTGGCCCGCCGACTCAAACACCGAATAGAGTCCAAACGGATCTCGGCCATACGCACCACAGGAGGCGACGTTAGCAATGACCCAACTCACATAGGTAGCATTTTCCAGGACTACTACACCAACCTATATAACCATACCCGACACTCCCAAACCGATTCAGAGCCCCTACGCACTCGCATAGACACATTCCTGCAGAAAGCGACCCTGCCCTCCATGACCCAGGAGGCCAGGGCCGCGATAGGGCAGGAGGTCACGGTGGAGGAGATGGCACAGGCACTCGGACCTCTCAAGCCAAACAAGAGCCCGGGCCCTGATGGCTACTCGGCCATATACTACAAAGAATTTAGCCCTATCCTACTACCCCACTTATGCAGAGTATTCAACGCCACATTGAGGGGGGAAACCCTCCCGCCAGACATGACAAGGGCTCACATTTGCCTCCTCCCCAAACCCGGAAAGGACCAGCTTGAACCTGCCCACTATAGGCCGATCTCACTGCTTAATGTTGATCTCAAACTCATGACCAAGGTCATGGCAAACAGACTAAATCCACACCTGGGATCACTCATACACCCCGATCAGGTGGGCTTTATACCCCAGAGACAGGCAGCGGACAACACCCGGAGGGCCATTGACCTCATTTGGCTCGCCAACCATAGACGTATCCCAACAGCAGTCATATCGCTCGACGCCGAAAAGGCCTTCGATCGCCTTACATGGCAGTTCTTACACCAAACTCTGACACACATAGGACTACCACCAGAATTCACCTCGTTCCTGACAGCGGTATACCACGACCCCCAGGGGGCACTCCTGTTGCCTAATATCCCACCCCCATGCTTCCCTATCACTAACGGCACGCGACAGGGGTGCCCTCTGTCACCCCTGCTGTTTGCCCTCTCCCTGGAGCCCCTTCTCCAGACGGTACGCGCCAATGCGGGGGTGGAGGGGATCACGGTCAGGGGGGAAATATTCAAAATTTCGGCATACGCCGATGACATCCTCCTGACCCTGACCAACCCTGAACGCTCCCTAGGGCCCTTCCTCGCCATTGTGGAGGAATACTCGGAAATTTCGGGATATAAGCTCAACTTGAATAAATCGGAACTGCTTCCTGTCCAAATGGACACCACAACGCTAGATAGGATCCGCCTCACCTTCCCTCTCCGGGTCTGCCACTCGGCTATCTCCTATCTCGGGATCCAACTAACAGCTAACGTCGCGTCCCTATACTCCAAGAACTACACCCCCATAATACTCAAAGCATACGAGGACTTGGTCACATGGAAACCCCTGGGCATATCATGGATGGGACGCGTGACCTCCATCAAGATGAACCTTCTACCTAGGTTCCTCTACCTTTTCCAAACCCTCCCAATCCCTCTACACAAACCAGATTTCAAGGCCCTTCAAACGGCTATAGATAGGTTCGTATGGAACGGACGCAAACCAAGGGTACGCAGGAGCACGCTATATGTCCCCAAGAAATCCGGAGGCCTAGGCCTACCGAACTTCTTACACTACCACACAGCAGCACACTTAGCACAGATACAGCACTGGCACGTACAGCCGGGCGAGAAGAGATGGGTGGATTTGGAACACCTGATCTTTGGCTGGGACCACCCGTCCCTATACATGTGGACACCCAGGCCACACAGACCCCTACCACCGCCGACAGCACCCGCGATCACGCACGCACTTGACCAGTGGGACAAAGCGAAAGATAAGTATGACCTCTCATCTTTCCTTTCCCCGATGACCCCGATCTGGCGGAACAAACTGTTCCCCCCGGGCCTCACACCCAAACACTTCGCCAAGTTCGAACAAAGAGACATTGCTAGAATAGGACACCTCTATCGGGACAACGACATTATCCAGTTCTCAGACATCCCAGACTCCGCGTCCCTCACAACATTTGACCACTTTCGGTATATACAACTACGTAGCTTTGCAGCGATTCCAAGCATTAAACAAGCGGGGACAGCACCACTCACCAAATTTGAACGCGGATGCGTGACCCACCCCAGCAGAAAAGGTCAAATCTCAGACCTGTACACAACCATAGCTAATCACCCCACACAACGCTCCCTCCCATACATATCAGCGTGGGAGACAGACCTGGGTCCACCGACCGACACGACAGACTGGGCGGATATCTGGGAGGCAACAGCCTCCGTCTCCATATGCGTTACACACACCGAGCAGGCATATAAAATGCTATTTCGGTGGTACCTCACACCACAACGCTTGGCTTCCATGCACCAGACACCATCCAACGCATGCTGGAAGCTATGTGGAGAGACGGGAACGTTCCTCCACTGCTGGTGGACGTGCCCAAAACTCCGACCTCTATGGCAAAGCGCCACCCACTTAATCGCCAAAATACTACACAAACCATGCCCGGCAGACCCTTGGGCCCTGTTGCTATCCAAGCCCATAGATCCTTTCACGAGATCAGAAAACAAACTGATAGCCCGGATTGCGCTTGCCATCCGCAGAGCCATAGCCGAACTCTGGTCTACGACCCGCATCCCAACACAAGAAATGATAACAAGAAAAATAACAGAGAGTTCACAAATGGATAAACTGACAGCACAACTCCGAGACACCCCCAAACATTTTCACAAAGTTTGGGACCCGTGGCTAGAGGGAGACACATCCATCCCCTGGTAGCCGTATGCACAAACTGAGCACCTGCCAACAATACAACAAAAGACAAGGTAGCTAACACGCTACCCCTCACTGAACACATGATACCATGGCCCTTATGCCTGCCATCACTGAGCCCCAGCCCCCCCCCCCGGCCCCACTCTTGGGGACGCCGCGCTCCGGGCGGCCCGCGGGCCGCGACTCCTATCTCCAACCCGACCCACTATAACCAGGCCACCCATGACACCACCAACCTCAAGGCCTCACCCCACCAACCCAACCACTCAAGACACAACCAGAAGTACCATTCACCTGGGAACAGGGGAAACATTAAGACAACCACCCTACTAACGGGCGCAGAGACGAACCTGACAGGCGGAACCCGAAGAGGCAGTTAAAAAGCTGGAACACAACAAACACCAACTAGGGCCCCTCAAAACTTGACAGGAGAATGATCGACCTGTAAGCAAAAATACAACGGCCGACTCGGACTGACAAAATAGACCGGGACTTACCGGCTAAGCAGACAAGAAAACACACCCCAACGCCAGCCGCACTCTCGACCCGCACGGACTCTCTACCCCTTCCTCGGTGACCCCACCGCTTCGAGAGGGTACTAGATTACACATCAACACAAGTTCGATAACTGGTAGCCATTATAGTCTAACGCACACTTTTCACCATTGTACTACCATGTTTTTAAACGTACCCTGCGTTGGTACAAACCTGTCTGAATGGAACTGTTGTACCCCCCCCCCCCTTTTTATTTTCTGTACCCCTTCCCTTGATTACTGATACCAACACAAAACCAATAAATAAAGAATGATAAAAAAAAAAAAAAAACTAATATCGATATCCCTGGTTAGGTAATGGTTAAAAACTAATATCGATATCCTTAATTAGTAATCCATACTGTAGTAGAGCAGCCTGCAGCCGCTGTTGCAGCTCCTGTCCTTGACCTGTACCTGGCTAGCCTGGTCCCCACTGGAACCCAGGGAAGCCACCCACACTGCTAGATATACACAGAAATGCAGAATAACCCTTCCCTCATACAAATAATACGAACAGCCCACACACAAACATACCCACAATACGCACAAAAGTAACCCGCTAACAATTCACATACATGCACACAACTCCACATGCAATACTCCAAACAGCCCCCACACACTACCAAACACACAATGTGACATATCCATCCACACACAATTCCACAAGCAGCCCTCATACACAGCCCACATTCATATGTATCATACGCGATACCATAAACTACTAATGAACATATACAATATAATAGCTTATATACGCACAAATACAACGATACAAAGCAACTGCAGTAAAAATAACACAAGCAGAATACGGAAGCATACACACCTCAATTTAAAAAAATAGGACCGACACGCTACGGGACATCACAATCCCATATCGGCCCAGTGCTGCTAAAAGGTTGCCTACCCCTGGTCTAGTGGTTCACATACTTTTTCCACCTGCACTGTGAATGTTTACATGGTGTGTTCAATAAAAACATGGCAATATTTCATTCTTTGTGTGTTATTAGTTTAAGCAGACTGTGGTTGTCTATTGTTGTGACTTAGATGATGATCAGATCACATTTTATGGCCAATTTGTGCAGAAATCCATATCATTCCAAAGGGTTCACATACTTTTTCTTGCAACTGTATGAGGGGTGCAGTGTGTGTGCGAGGGGTTCAGTGTATGTATGAGTGGGCAGTGTGTTTGTAAGTGAGGGGTTCAGTGTATGTATGAGGGGGCAGTGTGTGTCTGAGGGGTGCAGTGTATGTGTGAGGGGTTCAGTGTATGTATGAGGGGGCAGTGTGTGTCTGAGGGGTGCAATGTGTGGGGTGCAGTGTATGTGTGAGGGGTTCAGTGTATGTATAAGAGGGGAGTGTGTGTGTGAGGGGTTCAGTGTATGTATGAGGGGGCAGTGTGTGTCTGAGGGGTGCAATGTATGAGGGGTGCAGTGTATGTGTGAAGGGTTCAGTGTGTATATATGAGGGGGGCAGGCCTAAAATGGCAGAGACGCACGTCATGCTGATTGCCATCTCAGCTGACTGACCCCAGACCCTGGATGATGGGACAATATCCTGAAATTGGGTTTGTTCCCCTGTATTTGGGACAGTTGGGAAGTCTGATTTAGAATTAGAATTTTCATACCCATATCACATCATTTAAAAAAAAATAAAAAAATTTGATTTTAGGCAATGTTATATTTGAGAGCAATTCACAAAGCACATACAAGATCCTGTGGCGAATAAATGACATTGAAGTAAAATTAAATTACAGACACTTTCAGCGAAGTGAATTTAAGGGCGTATTGGCAGAAATCGAAGCAGAGATAATTCAGAGATTTCTAAGATTTAAGTTTCCAGTTCGGTAACTTTGATTTAAACTTGAAAATCACTTTTAATCTCATTTTAGTGAAGAACACCCGATAATAAGAATAATTTATTATTTTTATGGAATTTCACCAAAACAGTAAATTTCAGCCACATTAATACAATATTGCAAAATTTAGACAAAACTAGAATTCAGGCCTAAAAGGTCTCCTTCAATTGACTGTTTAGTGAATAAACCCTTCAGTGAATTGTACTGTAATAATAATAATAATAATAATAATAATAATAATAATAATGCCATTGGTGTAATAGTCACTGAAACTGGGTGCATTGGGGAAACTTTTGTGAGGTACTACTTTTTTTGCCTCGCGGAATGTTACGGGCGGGTCCGGCCAGTGATGCGGCCCAGGTAAGCCAGGTGTGCGGAGGGAAAGGCACAGGGTAGCTCGGCGGCTGCGTCTGCCCTGATACATTATTCATGAGCAGACGGGAGCAGTGCAAGCCGCCGTTACGTCGAGTGGCTTGGTGGGTGTGTCCCGAGGACCCCGCTCCCGGCATCTGATTGGCTACAAGCGGCCAGGGCGTCATGAATAAGTAATTAGCCGGCCCCCCCAGGTTGAGGGAACCAGGAAGCGGCCGTGGCCCAGGCGCCTCCCGTGGGACACGGACTGCGGGCTCTGGCGGACGCACGGAAGGTGAGAGGGGGTGGGAGCTGGGGGAGAGGCCGGCTCCTGTGATGTGGAATGGGGCTCTGTGTCTGACTGAGGGCCCCATAGGAGTTATTATACCTGGGCTGTCTGTGCATGTGCTGCCTGCACTGTGTGTGTGTATTATAATAACCTGCACACTGTGTGTGTATTATAATAACCTGCACACTGTGTGTGTATTATAATAACCTGCACTGTGTGTGTGTTATAATAACCTGCACACTGTGTGTGTATTATAATAACCTGCACTGTGTGTGTATTATAATAACCTGCACACTGTGTGTGTATTATAATAACCTGCACACTGTGTGTGTATTATAATAACCTGCACACTGTGTGTATTATAATAACCTGCACACTGTGTGTGTATTATAATAACCTGCACTGTGTGTGTATTATAATAACCTGCGCACTGTGTGTGTATTATAATAACCTGCGCACTGTGTGTGTGTTATAATAACCTGCACACTGTGTGTGTGTTATAATAACTTGCACACTGTGTGTGTGTATTATAATAACTTGCACACTGTGTGTGTGTATTATAATAACCTGCACACTGTGTGTGTATTATAATAACCTGCACACTGTGTGTATTATAATAACCTGCACACTGTGTGTATTATAATAACCTGCACACTGTGTGTATTATAATAACCTGCACACTGTGTGTGTGTTATAATAACCTGCACACTGTGTGTGTGTGTTTTATAATAACCTGCACACTGTGTGTGTGTTATAATAACCTGCACACTGTGTGTGTGTGTTATAATAACCTGCACACTGTGTGTGTGTTATAATAACCTGCACACTGTGTGTGTGTTATAATAACCTGCACACTGTGTGTGTGTGTGTTATAATAACTTGCACACTGTGTGTGTGTTATAATAACCTGCACACTGTGTGTGTGTTATAATAACCTGCACACTGTGTGTGTGTTATAATAACCTGCACACTGTGTGTGTGTTATAATAACCTGCACACTGTGTGTGTGTTATAATAACCTGCACACTGTGTGTGTGTTATAATAACCTGCACACTGTGTGTGTGTTATAATAACCTGCACACTGTGTGTGTGTTATAATAACCTGCACACTGTGTGTGTGTGTGTGTGTTATAATAACCTGCGCACTGTGTGTGTGTGTGTGTTATAATAACCCCCCCCCCCTTGTAGGGGAGTCATTGAATGTCATGTGGGGCAGTTATTCAGAATGTTGGTGGGTATTCGATTTGGCAAAATGCTTAAGCTGTAGTTCCGAGATTATGGCAGGTGCATATTGTTTTATTTATTTATTTTTTATCAGGAAAGGTTGTACATGTACTAGAAGGCTAGAACAGGACATTCATTTTCTTTCCTTCTTTTGGAAATGAATGTGTGACTTGCAAATCGATCATCCAGCAAGTATAGTGTGCACCTGTACATTTTTCCTTTATCTCACCACAGACGCTTGCATGGAAAAAATGGATTTCTTGCCATCTGGAGATGCACTAAATGCTACATGTAGGATTGTTGTTTCTATGTGTTAAAATGCTGACTGGGACATCTGTTAGGTTGATTTTGAAGATAGTTTGATTTACATATTTTCCAGAATATTTGTGACAATGATTTATTTTAAGGAACAGTTTGTTGGTGGTTTTTGAAAAGAGATCTGCAAAAGAATGGTCTGCTCCCAGCACTGTAATGATTCTTGCGTCCAGGTTGCCGCTATCACATTGCAGGTGACTCTTATAGAGGTGCAGTGATTTGCAAATCTGTTACAATTTTAATCCCACCCACTTGGTTACAATCCAGAGGATGCTATGTGTATTGTAATGTGCTATTTCGTCAGTCATTTTATGAGAAGCACCAAAGTATGCAACATTATACTACACTATGCATCCTCCTGTCTGTGCATTGGGCACACCTACTGTACACGTTTCCTAATAACTTTCTCCGGATCTGCCTGAGGTGCAGATGTTAGAGGTTCCACTTATTAAACATGAATGGAGAGCAAATCAATAGAAGCCGTGTTGCAGGTTTCCATTGGTTTGCATAGTCGCACTCATTGGGTTTTTATGAATTTGGCTACATGGGACTTGACAGAAATTCTAACCCAGAATACTCAAAATATATGATGAGACCAAGCAGGGACCACTCTGTCTTGGTATTTTTTTTTCCACGCTTGACAAAAAGGCAGAGTAAAGCTCGTCAAACCTCCAGCCTAGTGATGGTTGAGAGGATAAGGCTCTGTCTATGGATGATACCACAATCTAGCCAGTGTTTTCTTCTTGTGCATGCGCGGGAGTACAGCTTTTACTTTGGCTCCTGGTACACTAGACGCTGAAGGGGGCTGGATGGAAGAGCTTGGTGGCATCTGTAAAGGACCGGTTCAGGAAAGTGGATCACAACCCATGCTTTTGTTTATTTTTAAACAACAAAAAAAGTCTTCCCCCTCCACGTACGGGCCCTGTTGCATCCAGGGGCGATGCCATTGGGGGTCTCTGCAAATTATGTAAACATCCCAGACAATGACAAAGCCACTCTAAAGATTCTGCAAATTCTATCATTGTTCTGTTCAAAAAGGCAAAGCCGGGGCAAACATTGCAGATAAGGAGATAGAAACATTGTTTTGTTTTCGTCTTCTCTTTATGCCAACGGTCAGATGTGAAGGTCAGAGCTCACACAAAGATTGTCAGAGAGCTAAGATGCTCCTAGTTGCAGGTTAAAGAGATGCGGATTTCTTCATTTACTGTTATTTTTCACAAATGTGCTATTTGTAGTTTTAAGTAGGCATAATATTAAAATCCATGTAAGTGGATGATCACCTTTTAATGTTATGTAGGTCTGAGACTGGCATCCAATCAAGTGCCATACAGTTTGCATTTGTAGTTTTGAAATTAAGGTTGTGTGTTTTTTTTTATTTTTTTTATTTTTTAGGGGTTATTAAAGTTGAATCGCCATGTTCTGAATTCGGTGCTCTTTTATAAATGCATTACGAGCACTCTGTCCTTGACATTATTGTTATTTATTAGCATTTTATAGCAGCAACAGCTAGTGCTTTAAGATTAAACAGTGGGGATATACAACAGCAAGTAATCCACAGACAATGTTGTGAAGAGGACATTATTGTCCAGGAGATGTGGGGGGAGGTTTTTCCGACATAGTAAAGTTAACTATATGTACACACTGCAATCAAAGGACTGTTTGTGGTGCCATAGGTTCTGTTGATGACATTTGATGGTTACTGTGGCATCAAAAGAATTTTTTTGAAGTTAAACTGCAATAGCTTTGAACTGTACTCTGTTGTAACACATGGCTGCTGACATTCTCATTAGGAAACTGCTCTATAACCACGTTTAATAAGACAGGTGAATGTTGGAAGGTAGGATGCTAGCGTGGGGGTTTGGGTGGATTTTGGGAAGGGCCGCTACAAATTCCAGAAGGTTTTCTCTGATGGCTTCCCAGCTCTTGAGTCAATGTTGTATGTGCATGTCTGTAATGCAATGTCCCGAGTATTCAGTGCAGTGTGCCATTTAATCTAGGAATCAGTAGCATGTTGTGTCTATATAAATCCTATAGAATTCAACCCTTTCCATAAAGCATGCAGACATCTCTGTTAAATATAATCAGCATGAAAATCTGCTTGGTGTATTGGATGGCTATTTTGTTGTGTACTTGGGTTTTGTTTTTGTTATTTATTTTTTATATTTTTTATTTTATTTTTTTTGTTAATCTGCATTACTAAATGAACATTAAACACTGTGGATTTTGTGTGCAACGAAGAAAGTGTTTGTATCTATAAGGACTTAAAACCTTCAAGTTCTACAGTGCTAGCCAGGTCTAAAACTTACTAGCCTCTGAAAACTTGGAGGCACACTAATGGGGGTGAATTCCTGTTTGCCAGGGCTGAATTTCCACTTGCCAGTTGCTAGTAAAAAGTGGAAGTTATTTATGTATACATGTATCTATTTTGTGGAAGCAGTAATACATTCTGGAGCATCTTGTGGTGGCTAGATAGTATGAGTATTCATTTTTTTTTGTTTTTTATTATATAAAAGTGGGATGTGAATATTTCCCTGTGTGTTGAGTGTCCCATGTAGCCTTCAGGTAAGCCTTAAGTAACTTTCAAGGCCAGGTAGTAGCATAAGACTTAAAATGTTAAGGTGTTTGTACATATATATATTGGCATACCTTTCACCTTCCTGACCAGACCATGCTGACAAGAACAACAAGGTCAAAACTGTACATTGCTTTTTGGATCCCAACCCATGCTTTGTTTTATTTAAAAAAACAAAAAAAACCCAACTATTTCAAACCGTGTCCATTGCTAATGTTCTCTCCAGAAATGCAGGGTGAAGTCTATAACACGATTCCTGTCTGTGCTCATTTCTTGAGTTTCTGTGCCCAAGGGGGACTTCTCAAATTCCAATTTGAGATATGTAAGTGATAGACAACAGTAAATGTTTGGCAGAGCATGGCTGCATGTGATACCTGTGTCCCCAGTGCTTCTGGGAAAAACATTGGTTTGCGCAAAAGTCTGATAACGTTACTGCAGTGGCTCCAGCAAGGAATCTGGAATTAAGTGCTTCTAGCTGTCACACAGAGGGTTCTATTTTACAAATGTAAATGTTGCTGTTTATCGAAAAAAGGAAAATATACCTTTTGTATGAATGTGGGAGCCACTGATTGGCTTAGTGCATCAGAGTTGCTCTAGCCAATCAGCAGCTTACTTGCCTGGTCGCACTCTGCGCTTCATGTAACTCAGTTTTTCAGAAGCCGGATGATGTCTGGTGGACCTGGAGATTGGCGCTGGAGCCAGTCTTTAGGGTTAAACCATTTGAGAACAATATAGCCACTTAAGTTAGGGGTTTCCAGGCACTATAACAACTTAATGTATACAAAGTTGTTATGGTGACCGAAGTGTTTCATTAAGATGTGGTTTTGGCGCTTCATGTCACTTTGAAACAGTAGCAGAATCTGTATTTAATTCACATGTTTGGTAGCTAATCAATATAGCTAAATTGTGTAAGGCCCACTTCTATCACCAAGTTATTCTGAACTACTGTGCAAATGGTGGTCCTCAGCAGGACATTCAGAGCTCTGGGATATAATGTTACTGATTCTGTAATAGTTACAAAGTAGTATAGGAGTAAAAAAAATGAAAATACGAACGCAAAAGGAAACCACATTGTGTGTGTATGTATATAGTAGTGACAGCTTGTTGCTTGAAGACACTGTATTCAGTGTAGGGCTGTTTAGTGGTTAAAAACGATGCTTTGGGATATATATATTCTTAACCATCTATTGTGTAGAACCGAGAAGGGACCTCACAGTTAAGGCTGAATTTAGGGGGAAAAATACTTGGTTTTGCTTCTTTTCCAAATATGTTGACCTAAATGTATTATTATAATTTTTTTTTTTTTTCTTCTTCTTGTAAATGCTACACAATTACCAATTCAAAATAACTGCTACAGTGCTCATTGTTTCGTCTATTAAAAAGTTGGGGGGGTATCTGGCATTTCTTTGTATGCCTGATAGACCAACAAAGCACTAAACTTAGGTGAGTAATTCCAAATATTCATATATAAAGGGTTTCTTTAACCCTTTGGAGCGGGTGGACCTCTTTTGTGTAAAATGCCTCATTCCGCACTCTGCTCCGATTGCAAAACCTAAATAAAATGTGTTTTTTTTTAATACAGCTTGCAATGGAGGGAGGGTGGGACAGAGAGCTGCTGCATGCAAGGGGGAGATTTTAACGTCTGTCATCAACGTGCACTGATGACAGACCTTAATTATGCACAGAATTAACATTCAGCAGCCTGGAACACATTTCTGGGCTGTCGATGTCACGTGTGCTGGGGGTGCAGCTAGCCCCTGGCACACAACTGACAACTTCTTTGCATGTGCACTGTTTCAAGCAGCAACACTGCACATCCATACTCCTACCACCATGACCACTTCAAATCCCTGAAGTTGTCATGGTGGTTGGAGTAACCGTTTAAAGGGAAAAAATAATTTGCCCACAGCTTTAATGTTTGTGTGGGTGTTTTGTGCTTTTTTTATTTATTTATTTAACTCCTCCTGTGTTCTATCAATGGATTTTCATTTTTGTTCATGGTGGGAAAATTAACACACAAAAAAAGGAACAAAGTAATAAAATTATAATCGTTACAATAAGCTGTAGTGGTTATGATGCTTTAACTATATATCACTGTTTTGGTGGAAAATAGTGTGTCACCGTGGAAGCTTTTGACCTGTGACAAACTGAGGCAGCCAGAGAGGAAAGGTATTAGTGTTATTTGTATTTATTTAAAGCGACACTTCAGATGCATGAAGCGCTTTAGTTTTAATCAAGTGCTTTATGTGTAAAGTGTGCTGCATTCGGACGTCTGTGATTGGACAGTCACCGAAGTCTGGGCTGGGTTATAAAGGGATGGTTTGCAAAGGCTACAGACGAGATCTGCAGCTTTAAAAAAACAAAACATAATTGCATGCATGTTTTCATTTGAGATATATCTTCTAAACAGTGAATTTTATTTATTTAAATTTGGACAGGGAGTGTCCCTTTAAGTACATTTTAAATCGAACCTTTTTGTCAACAATAAAAACGTTTTTAAATCTCTTGTTGGAATTTACAGTTTTATACAATTAAATGGATACTTAAAGTACTATAACCACTACAACCTCTTGTAGTAGCTATGGTGCAAGAGACTCTGGCTTTTCCAAGACCATTGTCAATTAGTTTAACAATATTTGAGGATACCTGTAGTCTCACTATTCTCATTTTTGTGCGGGTAGGTGGGATAGAGTGGCGCTGAATTGATGATGGGTTACTCCAAGCATGATAACCATCGTGTTTATGTCCTGACTGCTTCACATATGAGGCCAGTAGTTACATACAACCTAGTGTCCTACATTCCAGGTATAACAAATTGCAGCCCATTGGAGTGGTTACGCCAGGAGTACCTTTGCCCAAGTTTACTGGTAATGGCGCAAACCATTGAGCAGCGGTTTGCACTCTTATCTGGGTCCATATAAGGCTCTGTGACTACTTTATCCCTGGTAATGTGCTTCTAGCTTCTGTAGAAGCCTAAAAACTGCATTTTTTTTTTTTTTTTTTTATTTTTATTTTTAAAGGACAACTATAGTCACCCAGACCACTTCAGCTCAATGAAGTGGTCTGGGTGCCAGGTCCCCCAGGTTTTAATCCTGTAAACATAGCAGTATTAGAAAAACTGCAATGTTTACATTGCAGGCTTAATCCAGCCTCTAGCAGCTGCTAGAAGCGCTTCTGCAATGCTCAATGCGAAAATCGAGAAATGCTTTCCTACAGGTGTGGTTTTTTTTTTTTTTTAAATGTGCGCGCGGCTCGGAGGGGGAGGAGAGGTTACTAGCGCCGAGGGAGCCCGGTGCTGGATAAACGTAAGGGGGTTTTAACTGCATCCCTTTGTACAAATTTGATCTAAAAACTTTTTTTTTTCTCTTGTGGTAGTGGTAAGAGAAAATGACTTCCTATCAGCGTTCTCGGACTGCTAATGTTGAAGAGCACATGAATTTAACCTAAGCAGCTGTGAGGAAGCAGGTTTTCTATAAAGACCTATATCCGCTTTGATGTGTTTGTTTTGCACTTGTGTATGCTGGTTTTATTTATTTTTTTAAAAAATTTGTGTTTAAAATTAAAAAAAAAAAAAAATATATATATATATATATATATATTTATATAATCAAGATTTGAGTTGACAAATTTTTGTAGAATGTAGTAGCACACACGGCATTGTAAGGAAAAGACTTTAATCATGTGGGATGAATCAGGTCAGAGAAGTAACCTTCTTTGTAGAAAGTATCACTACAAAAAGCCACACAGTCTGCAGGTCACAAAGTCTCAGCCTCTCCCAGATTGTCCACCCACTCTCGCAGTACAAACACACCCAGAAACCTGTGAATTGCTGGCTGGCTGCCATCAGATCAATGAGATGTTATCTGGCTCAGTGTGGCTGCCTGTGAACACCTTTGATATGGAGGGGGAGAAACCCAGACCAATGTGTGTAAATATCTGTATCACCTTAAAGACACAGTCCAGCCACCTAATACAAATGTATCCATAAGATTGGAGGGAATTTCCAAAGCTGCTTTTTATTTTTATTTTTTTTTTCTAATAGAAAAATGTTTTGTAGATACCATTTTTATTTTCATTTTTGGTTGTATACAGCAAACAAATGCTGAGGAATCCATGTCACAATCTACTGATGGCCGTTTGTATAATGCAAAACCAATATAAAACATTCTCTACACCAATACATAAATCTTTTAAACCTCGTGTAGTTCAAGAACAGATTGCTGTGAATTTTATTCGCCTCAAATCTTTCTCTCCCTCTCCAAAAAAATGTATTGCACGTGGGTGATATCTTAAGTGAGAGGCCATCTTTAGCCTCCATTGATGTTTTAGTGTGAACATCTCATCCACAAATATTCTTTTTGAAGGATGATATAGATTTTATCTGTAATTCATGCTGGTAGCATTTTTCAGAAAGATTAAGATATAATTACCTGCCAATCATGACTTCCTCCAAGGTGACTGCTTGGAATGCACCCACCCTAGGAAATGTATTTTGCATTTGATAAATGCCCCCCACGTGATAGAAATTGTGGTATGCCACCTCAGGGTTTTGGCTGCTGCTCATGAAATATATATATATAATTTTGTAGTCTTTACTGCCATGCCAACAGCATAGTTCTAGAGATTAAAGGAATGAGAGCACGTGAAACTTTATTTTAATCACCAACACAGTCTGTAGAGAGTACCCTTTTCTTTTTTTTTTTTTTTTTTATTATTGACATAACCGGTATATTTTAATTGTGAGGCTGCAATTCAAAGGAACACTCCGGTCACATGCTATATTGTTTATTGTGATCGAATTCTCCCTTCATTCCTATTGTAAGTCGTCAAATGGTTTTGGGACAGTTTAACGTCTTACCTTGGGTCCACTGTCTCCACTACATCTGTTTTGGGAGCCGGAAGATCCTTGGCATTACATTCCATTGGTACTCTTGAGCTAAGTCAGCTGACCTGTTTACAACCAGTGAAATAAGCTCAGAGCTTCTGTTCTGAAACAATTTAATGACTTACCAAGTGTTAGAGGCCACCAGAGCGCTGCTGACACAATAACTACAACAGCATGTGTTAATTTGACACCCTGAGTCTTTAGAACACTAAATGTCGTTCTTTTTTGACTATTCACTGTAGTTTATATTGTATTCACCCATTTGACAACTGCCTCTGTTAGCTCTAGTTTCCTTAATACACTTTTGGGGGGGGCTCTCCCCTCGTGGCTGACCGGTCCATAACTTGACTCATATGGCTTTTCTAATGAACGGATCTGAGCGGTATTTCGACAGATTGTGCGCTCAGATCCCAGCTATTTTGTGGAGTTCAGATGCATATTATGCTATTTTTAACTAATATTGTGGGATTTTCTGTACGGAGAGAGAGAATGTAATTAAAGGTGTACTCTTACGCAATTATCTCTCCAGTACAGAAAAGGGTTATGGGAAACGTTATTGTACGCTCAATTTTCCACAAGGTCCACCAGGGGAAAACCTCTGGAATGTCACTAAGGAAACCCCCTTGCATGGGGATTTGTATAAAACCGGCTGTGGTTCAATAAAAGTTCAGTTGACTCCAAAAACTGTGTGTCGTCCAGTTGTTGGGGGAATGGGATTGGAATTACTACGCTACTCTTAATTTTATAGGCTGACTACGTCTACCAGCGGATATATTGCAGGTTACACTTCTACTCCGCTACAAGGAGATAATCAAATTTATATTAAACAGAATTTGCAATAAAGGTGTAAACATTAGACTGTGCAAGTGACATGCAGGGAGGTGTGACTAGGGCTGTATAAACAAAGGGATTTAACTCCTAATGGTAGAGAATTGAGCAGTAAGACTGCAGGGGTCTGACCCATACACCAAAACTGCTTCATTAAGCTAAAGTTGTTTTGGTGACTAAAGTGCCTCTTTAAAGCATGCGCTTGCCTTGCAAGGTCACACTATATAAATAGAAAACTAACCGGGTTATCCACACATGTGAGAATTCAAAGGGGATTTCCAATAGAAGGCCATAAATGCTGGACTGAAAAATGGTCTAATCCATTTATGCTTCAAGTTTGGCTACTTTGGCCTTAAACTTGAAATTTACTCTGAATTCTTAGTTTAGTAAATAGGCCTGCCAGTCACAACCTATATATTTCTGGCTTTTTTTTTTTTTTTTTTGGAATTTCACTAGAATATAGCTTTAGTTATCTGAGACAGTTAACCACTGAGAATGTGCTACAGCATTTCAGATCCTATAAAATTGCTTTACATTAGGAACATTGAGGTGATTTTATTTATGTTGTCACTGTAACCCTCCTAGTACAAATCTAATGTCTTCTGTAATGAAGAACCTAATTTCTTCCTTCTACCCCAATTATGTGTCCTGTCCAGACACAAAATCTGCCAGTACATTTGTCATTGGATTTGATTGATGTGCTCAATAGTGGACTCAAGTGGTTATGTATACAGGTGATACTCAAAAAATTAGAATGTCATGCAAAAGTTCATTTATTTTAGTAATTCAACTTAAAAGGGGAAACTAATATATGAGATATGCATTACATGCAAAGCAAGGTAGTTCAAGCCGCGATTTGTCATAAATGCGATGATTATGGCTTACAGCTCATCATCTAATTTTTGCGAGTATCACCTGTACATTTTATTTTTCTCAAAAGTTGCTTTCATCAGCAAGCGTCTGGGTCAACCAGGTACATGATTAAACCATTTTTGCACTGTTTGTTGAACTATCTGACTACTTACTCTGTGAATACTATAGCTTCACCATATCAAATTTAATTGATGGGATGTGATATAAGGTAAAATATACTTAAAAAAGAAAGTTCTCTTTTAATCTGGCATATATTACTGATACTTGCGCTTCCTACTGCCCCATTTATTACATTCTGCGGCTACATTGAGGGATGAATTAATACATGTTCCTTTTTCTTCCATCCGTTTGTTACTGACGGATGAACGGGGCTCATGCAAAACACTCCAACAGCTGCACACTAAACCGTTTACAGTCTTAGTCATCGATGTAACAATTTATTTTTGCTTGGTCAAAAGTCCGATGTCTGCTGCTGTCGGCAAGTTAATAATTAACTTTTCCTCCCTTTTCTGTTTTTTTTACACCCATAGGCCTTTTAAATGAAATAATCAGTATAGGTAGGTGTAAAGGTGGATTGACCGAGCATGCTAGGGGGCAGTGTTTGTGTGCTTTTTGAAGTTACATAGGATTTGTACCATGCAGCGAGGTTTGAATTGGCATTCGATTTGTTCAACTTTATGCTTAAATGCTCTTACGCCTGTATTTCTACAGCTGCCAAGATGAGGAGATTTCTACGCTCCGGTCACGATTCTGTGCGAGAGCGGCTCAAACGAGACTTGTTCCAGTTTAACAAGGTAAGATAATGACTAGTTCCAAAAACATTAATGGAGTGTGTGTGTTTTCTTTTTTTTTTTTTTTTTGTGTGCAATTTTAGAACACGTCTTTAGGGAACGATGACCTGAATCAATTATTTTTAGATTCCATTCTTTCTCGTTCCTGGCTTAGTGGAAGTGCACCACATCCCCGTCTGTTTTTACTGTAAACTAAGAATTAACATCCTGGAACAGCAGGAGGTAACTCTAATTGGTCGTAACCCCTCCTCACCCAGGCATTTTCATTTTTTTAATTGTAGAATCAGAGTGCTAGTAATTACTTCCACTTAGATCCGGTTGCAAAGGGACCTTTTATTCCTCATTGAATCCAGCTAATTCTGAATACACGATTAGTTTGCTACCATAGTTTAGTCCCAAGGCTGAAACTGCCCATCCCTGTTGTCTGTGGCCACCTGTTATTTGTGGCCTATTTTTGCCTTTTATCTCTTGGTTATAGCTCTAATCACAGAGGCACGTTTGTCTTTGCCAGCCGTGGGCAGGTCCATGCTGGCACTCAAACCAGCTCGTCTAGTTTTTGATCTGTGGTTTGTTGAAGTAATAGTGAATGGAAAGGGTGGGGATATCAAACATTTGGCAGAATGAGATGTGAGGGTGGGGGCTGAATGGAGTGCACTGCATGAGGAACATCCAAAACTGACCATAAGATGCAGAATGGAGGCTATAGGGCCAGACTGGAATTTTAGGTAGCTGATCTCAACAACAGCTTGTTACAGTCCACTTTATTAGAATACAGACAGGAGTCTTTGGCTATAGTCCCTTTTGTTTTATGTCAGAGCTGTTTGAGGATTATGACAAATCTCTAACACTTTGCAACAGAGACAATTGGTTATTTCTCTTCCTCCATTCAAATATTAAAATATCTGCAGTAAAGCATATATTTTTGAAGATTAAATTTCCCTGGGTGTTTATTCATTTATGCGTGTGTGTGGTTTTTAAATCTGGGTGTAAATTTGTGTTTTTGTATGTGGGGTGTGTACACACAAACGTTCAGATTTTCAAGTCCTACCCTAGCAGAAATGCCTAAAACTTACTTGCCGTTGATGGATCCTTGGCACCCTAACCATTTAAACTCCCCAATGGCTAGTGGTGGCAAGCACCCACTACAGTATTCTAAAATACAAACTCCACACTGGGATTGAACATCACAGAAAAATTGCTCCAGAAGGCTATTGTAACGGGACCGCTGACTGATGCTCCTAGTGCTTTCCGAGGTCTCCATGCACTCCACCGGACACCATAACCACTGCAGACCCCACGAACCGCCGCAGCTTGGGTCCAGCTTCCAGTAGGTCGACCTCTCCGAATTCCAGAGAGCAGGAACAAGCTCTTAGCAGAGCTTAGTGATTATACCCTGGGGAGTATAGTGATTATAGCAATCCCCAGAGTGTAATTATCCAATCCCCCAAACATGAGCCAAAACTTCGTGAAGGTACAAGATGATCTCACTCCAATGAGCATTTATTACTCCTTATATACAAGTTTTCAGGCCAGAGGCACACCCCTTGGACCTGGTTGTAAACTGTGACAAAAGGGACACAAACCAACATGACACTCCCACATACACAATGAAATCCCTCCTCTCCATCCTGGAGATAATTGACTTAAGGCACTGCAGTAAACTCCATTATCTCCAGGTACAGAAAATATCTACATTTTACACTAACCGCAAAAATACGTAAAAGTACATAAAAATACATAATTCTTATATTACACAGAACCCCCACATTTAACCTATCCCCAGATAGCTTGGATCTGAGCACCCAATATAGGTGATCAGCGCTCAGATCCCATTAACAAAGAAATTTGCCATGAGGTTAAAGTTTTTGTGGAAGCATCTTTTGACCGACCGCACGCAGGTTTTCCTGCCCAAACAGCTCCACAGATGGTATTTCCAATGGTAAAGTCAGTTGACATAAAAAAAAGACTAAGTCCCATTCGAATGCATGAACGGGCCCCGTTCGTGCAAATAGCACAGCGTAACATGGCGTTCGAATTGTCGAACGCCCTTCGACTTTAGGTGTTCGTGCAATTGTGTAACCAATTTTTAGTTCCATGGATTTGCTTGCACACACTGCTGACCACGTTCGACTAAATTAAAATGGCTGCCACCACGTGTTCGTTTGTCGAATGGTGGCTACTTCGGCTGCATCCGAAGTGCCATATAAGAAGTACCAATCCTTTCCCATACTATTTAAAGGGCCAGAAGTAGTGAAATAAAATCCGATATGGCCAAATGTTTTTTTTTTTAAAGGGCAAAATCTCCCAGAGGCCATAGTCATGAGGAAGGAGACTGGCAATCAGGCTCCTCCAACAGCCAGGGGCAAAGGGCAGCTTGTCACCTAAAACTCCAGTGACAAAAGGCATTTAGTCACAGCTATGTACCCGTATGAAGATGCCTGGTGATATACCCTGCTAATTGTTCAACTAAAGGTCTGTTGTAAGCAAAATAGGTTTCCCAGGTGAAGTTACAGAACTAAATGGAAAGATTCCTATTTCAGCCTTAAAACTCAGTATTAGTGGGCTGACAAATCTGTCAAAAAGTCTAACTTTTTTTTTTTTTTTAAGTTACATTTTGTGTGGGTGGTTGTGTGTATTTTGTGTTTTTTAAATTTGATCTATTTTGGACTTCCATAATGTTACTTTCTTCTTATAAGTAGGCAGTGTTATTTCCTGTTATATTGCTACTATTCTCACCTGCAGCACATGTGATATGTTTTTTTTTTTTTTTTTCAATGGGTTTAATGTAACATTGCATAGTCTTTATTGTATGTGTTGCTTTTGTCCAGGTAGGATAGATATTGATAGTGTGGGAGCGTAAACTACTTATTCTTAGATGCTGTGAAAAGCATTGGATGGCTATGGGGTTTTTCTCCTGTCTAAGCTCCATAATTTCTGCCCTTTGAATGGTTCGACACTTAACATTATGTTACTGTTTTTAGTAGTGAGTTACACACAAATTTATTAAAACTACTCTTGGGGGCCCAGCAAAAGATGATGCAAAATGAAGAAAAACCTCAATAACATTTTCTAATTGTTACCTCTCTGCAGACGGTAGAACATGGATTTCCCCATCAGCCCAGTGCCCTTGGTTTCAGCTGCGTTCTACGTCTTATGGCGATTGGTACTCGATCTGGAGCAATCAAAATGTATCCATATTTTATTTTTTATTTTTTTCTGAAATGTCTGTGGTTATTCAGGAGCAATTGTGGTGGTTTGTGGGTTTTTTGTTTTTTTTGTTTTTTGTTGTAGGTGTGGAGTGTCGTCATCGTTCCTCAGCAATTTAGTTTTCACTCAAGGTCTCTCTGTGCTTACACTATGTATAATGTATCTTTAGATAAGGCACTGTTGGGTCAATACTGTAAACGTGGTGTAAATTTGTCATACAATTGAATGATTTAGTATTCACTTCTCCTTTTGTTTGGGGGTTAGGGCACAGCTGTCTGTAAATATGCCTGTTTATAAAATTTATCACTGGAAGTTTAGGCTGACTTTTTTGAGATATGAGAACTCTAAGAACAGGCAAAAGAGCAGAGAAACCTCAGTAGCCTGTCCTTTGGTTAACGCTGGTCTCTTCTCGTCACGGAGTGAACCTATACCCTTTCATAGCAGACTGATCCCGCCCTCAAGGCTAGTCCTGATCCGAAATGCCGGCAAGTTCTCTCTCTCTAGGCTTCGGGCCTAGTCAGCGAGGTGTAGTTTATATCCCTCAAGGCACAGTGCGCACAGGGTCCATGTTTAATTACTCTTTAACTTGGGGAAAGCCCAAGAGTATATGAATAATCTGGCTTGTCCCATTACAGAAAGTACATATACCATTTGCATATTAGACTGATCCCGCCAAGAAGGGCAGTCCAGATCCAAAATGCTGGCAAGTTCCCTCTGCATGAGACATACAGCAACCACGAAGGATTGTGTTACCCTACTGCAGACATGTCTGTAGACCTTTTGTATCTACATTCCTTATTGCCATCCACTCCACTGCGCAAGAGATGGAGCCGATCACCTAGCCCCTATCCAGTGTTGCCTTCCTACCATTTATCTCTTCCCTTCACATGGCATAGAAGATTGGAAGGTCCCTTGGCCACTTTAAAATTAGAGCATTGAGTAAATATCTTTCATAATAAGTTGTGGCTTATGGTTTTTTCTTATGATAGTACCATATTTAAAATAAATATCAATAGTGCACTCCATCATACTGTTTTGTGTACACTCCTCTGACATCTGCATGACTTCTAATTTTCTGCTTCTATCCAATGGAATTCCTTAACTTGCACTGTAAAAACCTCCTTCACATTCCACAGCTTACAACACATTCTATAACCCTATGTGTATAGTTGTTGCTTAAAAGAAGAAAAACTGTTTTTTTTTTGTTTTTTTTTTCTCGATGTATTCTATTGTTAGACATTTCTCTTAACTCTCTTTACCACCAAGATATGGTTGCCCAGGAGTTGAATTCATGGGCCTCCATGATGAAAATAATGCAGTGATCAAAATAACCTTCATCCCAAACCAGGTGAGTCGCAGTTGTCCTAAATGTTACAGCAGCTTGTCCTGTGTTGCAGCAATGTGACCACTATTTATACATGAACTACAAATTTGCTGTGGTCTGCTGATGGCATTGCAACGAGAGAGAGAGAGACCCCCCCCCAATGGGTAAAAATTAATCTTGGGGTGTACATCCGAGAAACAAGCTTTGTTGGTCATATATCTTCTATAATATTAGTATCCATAACAAAGGGCTAGGGAAATTATTGGCTAAAAGATTAAGATTGCTTTATTTTGATCAAATTCAACGGTGTTAATCCTATAACCTACTCATTTTGATCCTGTTCATTTTTTTTTCTTTTAAGTGCCAACTTGTGACCCTACTGGATGACAACAGTCTCCATTTGTGGTCATTCAAACATCATGATGGTGTGTCCGAACTGCAGGAGGAAAATAAATTCACCCTACGTGGCCCTGCTGGGTGAGCACTAGATAAGAAAAATTTAATCCTGTATTAACTAAAAACGTATATATTTAATGTCTTAATTATGATGGTGGTTTTTATGGTTTTGTTTCTCTCTATAGAAGAGCATTTACAGTATATCTTTTTAAAACACCATTTTTGGGGTGGCCTTGGATACATAGGTTTCTGAATTGTCTCATATAGTTGCTGTCTATTTATTTTTAGATAGGTTATTAATAATCTGTAAAACGGGTTAGGTTGTTGGCTTTGATGACCTCATAAAATAGTTGATGTTGGTATATTTTAATTTTATTTTTTGTATTGTTTCTCACAGTTCACCCCCCAGCGTGACACAAATTAAAGTGCTGCTGGCACATTCCTCTGGGGAGCGGTTATACCTAGGTACAGAGGGAGGCACAGTCTTCACCTTGGCATTACCATCCATGAAGCTGGTGGAAGCGAAAACCGTGGGACACGAGACAGCACTACAAGGGTAAACTTATTTGTGTTAGACTGTCCTAATTTATTTATTTTTTAAATCTCTGGTCTGTTAAAATAGTACTTTGCCTGTCACTCTGACATCCTGTACCTATAGCACTAAAGAGTATGTAAACATATATATTTTTATTTATTTTTAACACAGTCTTCCAGATGAATACACAAACAGGCGACCTTTTGAGTCAGTAGAAGCTTTACAAGAGAATCCTAGGAACCCAGACCAGCTGCTGATTGGTTACAGCCGAGGGTTGATGATGGTGTGGGATATTACTATGGAGTGTGCTGTACGCCAGTGTATGGGCACACAGGTAATTCAGTAGGCAAGCACTGTCCTTTCAACTTGTAGTTATTTATTTTTCTAGAGTTTGGTAAATTCTCCAATTGGAGTTGTTTGTGCCATGTACATAACTAAACTTTCCACTTTGTTTAAAAACACACAAAAAAAACACGTTTAGATCATGCTTTCCTTGCTTACAGCACTTGGAGAATGTTTTCTGGTGTCGTGATGGGAAACAAATAATTAGTTGTCACAATGATGGTGGCTACAACCAATGGCCTGGAAGTGGCGATGGGGTACAGGAATCTCCCATGGAGAAGAAAGTACCATATGGTAAGGTTGGGTGTGGGGTGGGGGAAGCCCTGAAGATTCCATAGTGCATTCATGTTTTTAATGTACAGGTGTTTTGTTTTGTTTTTTTCAGGTCCATTCCGCTGTAAAGCAATCTGCAAAATAACTTGGCATTCGTCACGCAGAGGGTGAGTGTCATTGCAAACGGTGTTGTAATTGGTTACAGTAAGGAAAGTCATGTAAAGTTATTTTGGGGGGGGGGGTCCTGGAAACCTGTTCCTTTTTAAGAATTCTATACATCTCTTGCATTTTCTGGTGTGATGTGCAAAGTCCTAAAATTCTGATATACTTGCTTATATACTGTATTTTCCAGGCATTCAAAGCTTGTGATGTACGGGTGTTAATGTTTGGTGTGAAATAGGAGTCCAGTTACCATTTTTGGGAGGGGATTGTGGGTGATTTGTGATATTTATATTTTTGCAAGACAAGGAATTACATTAGCCTGATGGACAACCATTCTATATGAAAACTTTAAAATATTTGGTCTGTCTTCAACCCATGTGATGCCTCTAAACCCCAACAGGTCACCATATATTGTGTTCCAAGGTGGGATGCCCATGGCAAGTTATGGAGACCGACACAGTATCTCTGTTGTCCATGGCAACCAGCAGACTGCATTCGATTTCACTTCCCGCATCATTGACCATATAGTGATTGGCAGCTCTGATCCCTCAGCAGGTGAGTGTAGGGTTGGCAATTTGTATCCTATCCCAGGCTTCCTGCTAGACTGTTTGATATTGGCAATTACTGTTATGAGCTTTAGAAATGCTGAATATATTGTGGATAGTGAAGATAAGTTAACTAAAATGTTAAACAAAATATTCCAGTTTAACATTTGCATAACTCAAAAAACATTTTGAGGGTCGTCTTCGGTTTGGTGTTTGTGGATTTATGAAATTTTATTTTAAATTTTTTTTTGTTTAATTCTTATCATTCAGTATTCACTAAAGCACATTTTCTAAATTGAAGGCCAACCTGAACATTTTAAACCAATATGAGTGCTGAGAACAGGCAAAAGCTTAGAAAAACCTCAATAGTTTGCCCTATGGTTCGTCCCTGCTTGGGTCTCCAAAAATCTGAAAGGTCTGAAAATATAGCCAATATTTTGGTCTAGACTCACTAATTCACTAGTAGTAGTATAATGACTGCCATTGCCCATTAAGAAAAAAACAAAACGTAAGCATCACTAATCCAACTATGTTTAAAATCTTGTCTGTATGGTGTGGGGGTGTGTTTTTTGTTTTTTTTGTTTTTTTTGTGTGGTTTATCAACTTGCAGCTGACCCGATTTTTGTCTGTCGGTCCTTGAGATTACTTCCTAAATGCACTTTACCACCACTGTCCTGAATGTTCTATACAGAGTACGATGACCCGCGTGCTCTGCTGGTACTTGCAGAAGAAGAATTGGTGGCAATTGACCTGCAGACACCTGGCTGGCCAGTGATACAGTGTCCTTACCTTGTATCTCTACACTGCTCTGCTATTACCTGCTCGTACCATATATCCTCCATCCCTCTGAAGCTGTGGGAGAGGATAATCGCCGTCGGCCGGAAGCAGAACACTCACTACTCTAGTTTGGTAAGTTGTCCTCTTTGTTGTATTGAGTTTCTTTTCCCACATTTGTAACTTCCTGCCCATTGGATATGTGAGCACTGACATGTTTTGGGATATTTTAATACTTAATCTAAGAAGAATTTGAATTTCTATGAGAAATTACTGCTTAGATATTGACACCAATAAAACTGGCTGCACCATCTGAATTTTTTTTTTCCCAGAAGTGATACTACAATTTAAAATTCATACTTTTTAGAGTAGAACATTCTTCTGAAATTACATTGCTTACACGCAAATCGTACCCTGTGGTTCATCGAGTTAAGATTTATTAATTAAATGGCTTGTCACACCGTCCACAGAAATCCACAGATCTGTCCTTTTTTTATAGAATTAAAATAATGTAGAGGTTACATTGTCAGTGTCTTTGTTTTGAGTGCAGCTTAGATTGCAAGACATTGTATTTGGGTTATATGCCTGTTCTTTTGTCACGCCAGTGCTGTCTTTTCTGTGAAAGCTGTCTGTCATAATTACAGCCAGGGTAGGTGGGACTAGGGCTGCATAAACAGGGATTTAACTTTTTTAAATAGAACATCCTTGATTAGACACTGCAGAGGCATGATCTATACACCAAAACCACTTAGGGTCCCTTTAAGGTCATTGCTGCATTACATGGCCAAACATATGTGTGGATGGTTGAACTTGATGGACTTGTATTTAGATATTTTCATCTAGAGCAAACCGCCTGAAACAGGTGTGTGTAAAATCACACTGATTACCAAAACAACCTCTGTAGCAATGTTCCTTCATCTAGTAGAAAGCTTTCAAGGTTTGGGGGAACTCTCAAAGGGCAGCACAGTTGGATCACGTCCATATTCATAACCTGATCTTTGAATGCGTTGCTTGAGCAGGTGTAAACATTACAAGGTGCCTACATACTTTTTGACAATCCTTTCACATTCTGCCACGTGAGTTTAATCTGTATGTGTGCAGGGCTTGACTTTGTGGTTTTATTCAAATTTTTTTGCTGCTTTCTGAATGCGCTCTACAATTTCTAAATACAGCCCTGGCCAGTTGATGGAGGTGTGAATTTAGCTCCTGCACCACCACAGAGAGACTTACTACTTACAGGGTGAGTACTTTATTGGACACTTATTGCATGAGAGAACCTCCAATCGCCTATCTCATGGGTACCTGTAAGGTGCTCCTATCCATCTTCACACTTCCTTAATTTGATTGCGCCTCTTCTTCCTGACATCCCTCACGTTCTGGAAAAGGGAAGGTATTTGTTTTTGGTTTTTGGTGGGGCAGGGGGGCACAAAAAGTAACCCTTAAGTTCTTTGTAGGAAGTGGACCTTTCATGTGGAGTGACCTTTGATACATTTATATATGGTAATCCCTTATCACAGTGAGACAGAAACTATTTGTAATCTATACTATTGATGCAAAGATTATGAAAATAAACTTTATATATTTCTGTAACTACCCCTAATATATCAACCTTGACACTGTACATTTTTTGGGCAGGCATGAGGATGGCACTGTGCGCTTCTGGGATGCATCGGGGGTGTGCCTGCAGCTGATGTACAAGTTGAGCACCGTGGGCGTCTTTCAGACAGATTCTGACCACAATGACAATCTCAACGCTCATGGAGAGGACGACTGGCCCCCACTCAGAAAAGTGAGTAATTGTTTTGTCATCGGAATCTAGTCACTTGTTTGTTCAGTACAACTTCCAAGACTAGTGGTTTTTAATCTTCTCATTATATCAAGTGCAAATTATGGTGTGTAACCTGTCATTCTAATCTTCTATAGGACATGTAGAAAATTGATCCTTCCCCCGGGCCGGTGTATCAAAACTCCCTCATTAAGCTGAATCGGTTTTGGTGTTTGCTGTGTATTAACCTCGTATGTTACTCACATATAACTAATCACTGTGTGTATGTAATTCAGCTTAATGAAGTAGTTTTAGTAATCCCCTGCAGTATTAACTCTATTTATGAGTTAATGTTCATACAACCACTATAAAAAAATTTTTTTTTTATAAAGGAGTATGGGCGCTACCAAAATACAAATATAAAATGACTGGTTTAGTGAAAAGGGTATCCCACAACCCTTGAGAATAGATAATTGAAACAATAAAACAAATACTGCACCAGTCAATAGTAGGATCAATCTAAAAAACAAAAATCTAAAAACAGTGCAAACTATGTGTACATCAAATAAACCCAGATAGGATAAAACTCACAGGATCTGGAGAACTTATCTTGCTTTCCTTGGATGATGAGCATGGAAGTCCTTTCCAGAATAGGGTGGATTATGGTGAAGTCTGTTCCTAGTCTGTGAGTGGAGAAGTCGGCGTAGTCCGGATCCAGCAAGAGAGGTTCGGTACACAGGTAATCAAATAGAAGAGCTCTGACGACAATCAGCAACAATGTAGCAAGTATCCGAGAGGCACAAACTGATTGAGCAATTTGGATGCGGTCGCGGCTTCCTTTAGAAAGGGAAGCGTTTGACATCAGATGCATGGGAGGAGTTGGATCGGCGAAACACGGAAGTCATATGGGTAATGCCGATTGGACTGGAAACAACATGTGGAAATCCTGACACTTGGTATGCTGAGATATTAAGATTTCCTATCACTGGAAGTAAGGGGCCTGGACCAATTCCTGAAAAAAAGCCCCATACCATTTATCCCTCCACTACCAAACTTTACAATTGGCAAAGTGCAGTCAGGCATGTAATGTCTCTGCCAAACAGAGGCATGATTTGTCACTCCACAGGACACATTTCCAGTGGCACTGTGCTTTATGCCACTCGATCCAACACTTGGTACTGTACTTAGTGGTATGAGGTTGCATGCAGCTGCTTGGCCATGGAAACCCATTCCATGAAGCTCACACAGCAGTTTGTGTGTTGATTTTGATGCCAGTGGAAGTTGGAACCTCTTCAACTATGGAATCAGCAAAGACTCTGCACTCAGTGACCCTACTCTGTGACTTTAGGTGGTCGTCCACTCTGTGGTTGAGTTGCTGTTGTTCCTAAACACTTCCACTTTCTAAATTCACCACTTACAGCTGACCATGAAAAATTTTGCAGGAATGAAATTACAGGAACTGACTTCTTGCAAAAAGAATATTCATCAAGAAAGGAATATTGATACAGCACTTCAAAACAAGTGTAAACTATGTTTAAAACAATTAGCAGCTCAACAACACTTGTGTAGGGATCCCTTTCTTCCCTCAACAACCATTTGGTAACCAGAAAATATTATAAGTGAAAACTAATAAAAAAAAAAAGTGACACACTAAAAACAAAGGCTTCTCGTACCCCTTACAGTATAGAGATGAGTAGAGGTTTCAATAAAATGCCATCTTAAACACAACAAAACAGAAAAACAAAATGCAGATGGTTTTTTAAAGCGATGAGTACAAAATAATGGTTACAAAAATTACTCACGTGGGTTTAGAGCCTGGGTATATGGCTCACTTTTTGCCCAATTGCGCGCTTGAGGCAGCACCACACCTTGCTTCTTTGAGTTTTTTTTTTTTTTAAATCTCAAATGGGGGGGAAAAAAGGGAAATCAATTTTATGCAGTATGTAGAGCCAAAAATCTAGGCGAGAGTGCAAGTAAACTCACCTTGTTCAGAGCCCCATAAATCCCTGGCTGTCAGTTTGTGGAGTGACAATCTTAACACAAGTTGGGCCATGAAAATTAATAAACAAGTATTTATTAGTGAACATAATTCTTATTTATTTTTTTAAATTGATTCAAAAGTTCAGTATTGTAGTTCTGCCAAGACACGTTTCATTTGATCGGCTTTCTCAATCCGCATTAAAAAAGCTGGAGCGAAACACTGAACTTTTGTGAAGTCTACTTTTTAATCTATTTAATTTTTTTTTTTTTTGGTTTGTTTCTGTTCAAGGTAGCGGTTTTGGGAGTGTCACTACAAGCATGTTAGTCCATGTTTTGAATCGTACTGTCGTATGTGTTGGAGCTTTATTAATAATAACAATTTGTGGTTTTAAGTCTGCAGGTTCTAATATCTTCCTATTCAGTAAGTCGTTATCATTTTGTGTGTTTTGCTCACTGTCCCCAAGGCGTTGACCTCCCCTGTCTAACTCCACTTGCCTGGTTTTAGGTTGGCTCATTTGACCCATACAGTGATGACCCAAGACTCGGAATACAGAAGATTTATCTTTGCAAGTACAGTGGTTACCTGTCTGTTGCTGGAACTGCTGGTCAGGTGAGTAATGGATACCGAGAGATTGAATTGATTCTTTCTACCAATTTACCAGTTGATTCTTCTTGTTCTAATCACAATGTGGGAAAATTACATTAGTGGTTGCTTTAACCAAGACTAGCCAAACTGTAACTATAAAGTAAATTATAATCCACAAGGTTCATCCTTAAAGGCGTTCTATAGTGTTCGTGGGGAGTGGAGGGGAGGGGGTCATCTGATACTCCCTGGCAACCATTGATTGTATGAATTAGTTTGGCTTAAGATGAGTGTAATCACTGTGTGTATGTAATTCAGCCTAATGAAGTAGTTTTGGTAGCCCCCCTGCAGTATCAACTCTCTTTAGGAGTTAATGTTAATACAAGCACTTTGACCACTTTTTCAGTGTTCTAAACTGGTCATTGTGTTTGGTAATACATCCAGTGGGTCTTGGCTTTTTTGGATTGTAAGGGACCGATTGTGTCCTGAGAGGACAAAAATATCTAATTTGCTAGATGAGGGGTGTGGGTTTTTTAATTATTTATTTATTTTTCTCCCTTAACGCATTGCAGGTTTTAGTTCTGGAGTTGAATGATGAGAGTGCAGAGCAGGTGGTAGAAGAAACTGTGGTGGATCTTCTGCAGGAACAGGAAGGCTATCGCTGGAAAGGTCACGAACAGCTACGTGTCCGGACAGACGCTGTCCGTTTTCCTCCGGGATTCCAGCCATTCTCTTTAGTGCAGTGCCAACCTCCTGCTGTGGTCACTGCAATGGCATTGCACTCCGAGTGGAAACTACTAGCTTTTGGCACCAGTCATGGCTTTGGCCTTTATGATTATCAGCAAAAGCGTCAAGTGATGGTCAAGTAAGTGTCTCTAGAAGGTATTTTCAAAAGCTAAAACAAAAGTTTGATAGGGTGTTTATGTATATAAAAATATTCATATAGGCTTATATACTTTGCTCCTTGATGATGGCAATGTTTTATCCTTTTACACTGTAGTGATAGCTGAACATTGGAGTCAAACGCACTGGAGGGCTTGATGTTTAAGGAGTTTCCATAGTGTGTGTTCTTTGTATCACAAATACACCTACCGTTAACACTTTGTTTTCAAATTTTCTAAAAAAAAAATCAAAAATAAAATGTGGAGGGCGGGAGAATGGTATGGAAGGCAACTTGGGAGACCCTAAAGTAAAAATATAGGCAGCCTATTTTGTTTTCTAATGTTTTGAATGCCATAGATCATGGTGGCACAATGTTGTCTTGTCCTGATTCTTGGAGATTTTATTAAAGTGAAACACTCAGGGCTCTTCTCTTTTTTTTTTTTTTTATTTAATTTTATTTATTAATTTGGGGGGGGGGATGGAGCACACTTGTTTTACTAAATGTAAGTTGTTTCTATATAGGTAATCACTTTTCTCTACACATTGAAAGTCTGTGACATAGCTGCGATGAAAAAAAAAAAAAATATATATATATATATATATATACATTTTAATTCCTTTGTCTTTGACTCTATGCCATTGGCACAGCTGTCTTAGCTTAAATGTAAAGGTTAACAGTGGATTTCCATGCAACTGCAAAGAATTAGTGATTGATTTGCCAACCCACATTCTAATATGCACTGTTGCTGTGTCTGTCTTGCAGGTGTACGTTACATGCTAGTGATCAGCTGGCTTTGGAAGGACCTCTGTCTCGAGTAAAGTCTCTAAAGAAGTCTCTGCGTCAGTCATTCCGCCGCATCCGGAGGAGTCAGGTTAACAAGCGCAGAGCAGGAACTGACAGCAGAGTAAGCACTTCCCTGTGTATTCTGAATGGTTTTTAGTAATGTGAAATTTTAAAGCTTTGGGAGTGACTGTGTGGGAGAGATGGATGTGAGTTATGTATATGTACTACAGTGTTCTCTGTATGCCTCTTTGACATTGACATTCAAGTGATATAATCTCTTTTTATCTATATCCTCTATTTGCTTTTTTAATATAATTATTTTTTATTTTTTTGCCAAACAGTGGCCTAAACTTTTGTTTATGAATGTCTTCATGTAGACCTTCACTGTTCACCACCATGTGTGTCTTGTGAAGTCTTTAAGTTCCGAATTTGCTACAGACATGATGTCTCTTGTTCATGTCAGGTGCAGGAGGCCAATGCCCGATTTGAACAGGAGGCTCTGCGGGAGATGGAGCTAGCCCCTGTACAGCGAAGGATCGAGGCTCGGTCAGCAGAGGATTCCTTCACTGGATTTGTGCGCACTTTGTACTTTGGGGACACCTTCCTTAGGGATAGTAAGTTACACTGGCGAGGAATGACAGAACTCCCGCTTCTAGCCAGAAATCTGTACAGCAGAACAAAAGCAGTGGAGAACTTATTTGTTCTGTGTTTTAGAGGTATCCTTAAAACCTGATCCACCTCCGTCTCTACCATTGTCCCCTCTCTACTGTTTTTAAAGTAGATGAACCTGAATAGTGAGCAGTCACAACCTTTAGTTAAAATCATCACTTTTGATCCATGCTAGACATGGAATGTCATGCTATGTCTAGATCTGTGTGTAGTATTTACTTTTTTTATTTTTTTTTAAATCAGGCTCTAGACATTGTCCTTCTTTATGGGCTGGCACTAATGGTGGTACAGTGTATGCACTTTCTCTACGGGTACCCCCTACAGAGCGACGGCTGGAAGAAGCTGTAACTGCAGCACAGGGTAAGACAATCAACTTTATAGTAGATTGATACAATTGTATAAATTGTGAGGGTTGCCCACACAACACTTTTGTGTGTGTTTGTCATGTATCCCTCTATCTAATCTATCTAGGCTTAAGATTTCCATTAGTCCCGGAATTTACAAAGTCATCCCCGATGAATATGCCATGGACTCTCCAGCCTTGCAGTGCAAGTGATATATTCTGTTTTATTTCTACCAGCTAAAGAGATTCAGCTTCAACACCGTGCACCTGTGGTTGGCATCCTAATTCTGGATGGCCACGGCGTTCCTCTTCCAGAGCCTCTTGAAGCTGCACATGATCTATCAAAGAGCCCAGACATGCAGGGAAGCCACCAGTTGCTGGTCTTGTCTGAAGAACAGTTTAAGGTAGATCGGGAATGGTTTTTTGTTTTTAACAGTCTGTTCACAGCTTAGTGAACAATGAAATCACGCACGTCTTTCTTATTGTCCACAGATTTTTACTCTCCCCAAAGTCAGCAGCAAATTGAAGCTGAAACTGACGGCCACAGAAGGGTGCCGGGTGCGTAAGGCTGCTGTCTGCACGTTTAGCAGCTCTCGTGCAGAGGATCACTCTGAGAATCACCTGAGTCTACTTACCAATCTAGGAGATATACAGGTGGTGTCTCTGCCTCATCTGAAGCCTCAGGTGCGATATGACTGCATCCGCAAGGAGGATGTAAGTGGTATAGCATCTTGTGTCTTCACAAAGCATGGACAAGGTGAGAATCCATGGGACCCTGAATAAACTGCAATTGCCCATATTTGATTTGTTTTGTGTCCTTTAACTTAAGAATTGTTACTGCAGAGTGACTTGTCTCTACTAATCACACCCTACCATACCTGGGCTATTATACAGTGTAATTTTATGCCTATCCCTTCATTCTCTACATCTGTTGGTCTCTAGTAGCCGGATGCCGTGTCACCACAGCACTAGGTGTTTCAACCTCTGGGAGTGTGAGCATGAAATGCATTGTTCTTCTGGCAAAGCAAGTTTTGTAAAATACACCCCTATATCCTCCTCAAGCTCTGCTTATATGTGGGGTGTCTTCTACAATATAAGATAAACAAATGTGCAAGTGAGCAGTTTCATGCCCAAACACTTGGAATCGTAACCATCACACATTCATCCATTCAGTGAGAGGACTAGGTAGTCCAGAAAATCCTTGCTTGGTTTACTTTAACTATTTTGCCCATCATTCATTTTGGGGTGTTGTTTGTACAATTCCTAAGTTGTATGGCTCTAATTCAGTCTAGTTCTAGCATTAAATCTGATCAGTTTGGAGAGGATTAAGTTCTTAAGTAATTCTGGTTAATTTCACAATTTGAATAATGGTCTATTTTCATGGCTGAACTATAGCTGGGAATCCGTGGCCTCCCATTCATTTTCTTGGGAGGATTAGTGAGCAGGAGTGCGTGTGATTCCGTACATGCATATCGCTGTAGAAGCTCTGTCATGTGAAGAGAAGCCATTGCAAGTTCTTTATTGGCTTGAAATTAATGAATAAAGTTTGCTCAAGCGAGAAGAGGCATTGCTTCAGGAGAGGGGAAGGGTGGATTTTTGGTGCATTATGTTTTGCTATTTTATTAAATCTATACAGTAAGGTGTGTTTGTGTGGGTTTTTTTTTTTAATTTTTTTGTTTTTTTGTTGTTTATCCTGCTACCTCTGGCTTTGAGTGAGTGTGCTTATAGTATTGACCTATAATCTATATTGGGGGGGGAATATGAAATTGGACTCTTGCGTTTTGGTGTCATAATCATTTCTTGACCAGGCTTTTATACTGACACTTTTCAGGTTTCTATCTTATCTCCCCCTCTGAAATGGAGCGATTTTCACTGTCTACATGCTGGTTGGTTGCACCACGTTGTCGTGTGGACCCTCCAGAACGTCCACTGAGTCGTTTGTCACAGAGAGAAAACAGTACTGAACGGAAAAGTGAAAGGTACAGTTCAGGAGCTAAAAAAAAAATTGAGTGTGTATATATTATAGCGCCAAAATGTTGGCACTTTTGTTGACATAATTACCTGTTTCTTTGTATGCAGGATGAATAGCCGCAGTGATGGAGATGCAGATGGTAAGAAACATAGCATGAACTTTTTGAAGGCAAAAAAAAATAATTAAATTCTCACTCACCTAAAGGGATACTCTAAGTACCAAAATAATAGCCACACCTCCCTTGTCTCTGGGTAACACCCTCCCTCCACCCGACTAAACTAAAGCTTGCCTCCTCTCCAGCGCCAAGTACATGTCTTCCACTGGCATCACGCCTCCTCACTGCAGGGGTAGTGCTGTCAGGGAGGCCAGAGGTGGGGATCCTGTCACTATTGGATGCCTGTTACTGCTATACTGTTTTTGCTGATGGCATGCTTCCAATATGCACAAAACTGACATTGGCAAGGTCTTCATTGAGGTCTTTCAATGGGAACACATAAGAGCTTGCTGTGTTGTACAAAAGAATGGTCATTTGAATGTGCAAAGAAAGCCACATTCAACAAATGTACTACTGGTAAGGTTGGCTATTATCCCCACATTCATACAGTTTGTTGCAAGCAGTATTGATAATGTCAAGAAAACATGTGTGACAAACTCACCTTTCCACGTGAGTTTGCCACAAGCTCCTGGAGGAGCCTGCTTGCCAGCCTCCTGCCCACAGACTATAAGGGCCCTGTAATATACACTGTAAAAGTCCAATTTGTGTATTTGGACTATATGGTTCTGGAACCGAACAGCTTCACGAACCAGAGACCACTCTAGAAATTCTAGGAAATTCCTGAACCGATATGGGTGATTTTTGGATAAGTTGGTCACCCAGATCGGGGGATATAACTTTTTTTGTGGGGTTTTTGTGTATATTTAAGGTACTTTTGATGTGTTTGTGAAATTTGTGCTTTTTGTGCCTGGAGATAATTGTGTTAAGTACAGTTCCTGACTCCATTATCTCCCTGGCATAGGGTAGGGGTTATCCTGTTTTATGTGGGAGTGTCATGGACGTGCTTGTCGGTGTTCCGAAATGTATAAAAGCAGGCCATCTGGCCAGATTAAAGGTATTCCAGCTTGTACTCGTAGAACTATGTGTCGTCTGGTTACTGGGAGGGTAAAGAGCTACTCTTCTTCTTTTTTTTTTTTTTTTTTATCACTGTTCCAGTGTGGAGTATTCAACGGGGAAAGTCTTTGTAAGGACTAGAGCTCCCAGGACTGGGGATTGCTAGAGAGAGTTCCCCATTCGGCTCCAGGAGAGAGCAGTTCCAGGACTCCAGTCAAGCCACGGCGACTGTGGGCATAATTATTGTGGTTTGTCCCCTGTTCCAGCTAGGAATCAGTCCTGGGCGGAGCTCCATTACAATATGTTTCACTTACACCATGCTATTTTTATTTATTTATTTTTATTTTTGCGGGTACTTGTGAACATCGTGTTACATTGTGTGCATTAAAGGCAGTCAGCAGAGGTTACAATTTGTCGTAGAAAACCGCATCACATGCAAGGTATACACCCAAAATTTTATAGAGAAAGTATTTTTCTAGCGTGGATTCCTCCTGTCTAAACAGTTGGTTAGCTCCATTATGGATCAGAGGTTGCCGGGAATTAGCATGTGCACCCTTCATGTTATCCAGTATGGCTATGTCTGGGGTTGGCGGCATGTGGGTATTGAGCAGTGGACTGTTGTCACCTGCAGGGCAAGAACCTAGTCTTTTCTAGGTGGTTTGCTCATAGGAAGTCGCGCCAGCTAGGTTGGCTGTTATGTGCCCTCATAAGTAAGTGGCTGGTTAATGGCTTGCAGAGCCAGGTACATGGAGCATATGTATATTCGAACCGAGGGAAATGAAGGGACCTAGGTTAACCTTACCAAATAATACAACATAAAACAAATGCAACAGAAAACAGAGCCTTGCGTGGCAGCATTAACAGCAGGCGTTGCTGGGTTCAGGTAGGGAGAGCGTCTGCTCCCTTTCTTGTTCCTCTAGGCACGAATGGGCTGATGTTTGCTACAGTCCATGAGGGGCAGGTGTCTGCCGGGGTCGAAGGAAAGCCGGCGCTTCAGACGTGTGCGTTAAGACGTGTTGCTTGCCGTCTCACTCCGCCATCAGTCGGTGCTGCCCCCATTTGTATGTTATGGATTTCTCCCGTAATAATTGTGTTATCTGTCCCAGTGACCTCCTCCATGTCAGTGTATCTGGATATGTCCCTGAAAAAGGTAAGGTGTGCTCCCTCAAAGGGGACCGTTTGAGAGTCTTTTGGTGGCACCCATGAGTGCCCCCGGTCAGAGTCCCGGTTAAATTTAAGAAGTACGTCCCTGGGAGCCTCCTGTGGTGCTTTGGGAGCTGAAAACTTGAATCCATGCCTATCTGCTTTATTTGCTTGGGCAGGAGTAGTGTAGCCAACAGCCTTCGGCAGTAGTGTGGTAGTTCTGTGTCGGTGACTGTTTCCGGCACCCCTCGGATCCTCACATTTCGTGCCTTCGCCCTGTCCTCCATATGTGCTAGTTGCGTAGTTAGGGCACTGTATTGCTTTTGCAGTGCTCCCAAGGCTGCATCAGTGGCAGTTTGGGCGACCCCTGCACCCTTAAGACCGGCTTGTGAGCGTTGAGAACACCTCCCTGACATGCGCCATGTCGGCAGGAGTTATATGTATTTCTTTGGCTAACTCCTTGATATCGGTTTTCATGGCGGGAGCGGCGTCTCCTGGCTCCGAAGGTGCCCCGGGCTTGGCAATTACATTTGGTGGCGGGAACTATGCTGTCGGGCTCTTGTTGTCTGACGATGGTGAGGTGGAGGCCTCTGCCGGAAACAGTCTTGCCAAGATCAGGCCTCATGGCCATGCGCATAAAAACTCCTATGTCTCTGGATCCCGAGCCAGGATCGGCTTTATATATTTTTTTAGCCTTCTTGCCCATGCTGTAAGGCACTCGTGGGACGTTGGATAACTGGTTCATTTTTGCCATTATCACCGAAATGTGGCGTTAGGGTTAACTGCTTAGTGGAGCTACTGCCCACAATGGTAGTTTTGACAAGTGTCGTCCAATCAGTGGGGCAATAGAGTTGGGTGCTTATCCGGGGTCGGGTTGTTTAACTCCATCGTGGACGTATCTGGTACGTCCGGGAAAAAACGGTCCTTAAGGACGGGGTGCGTACCTGATACGTCCGTGAGGAATTAGAGCGCTGGAAGCAATCTTGATTGCTTCCAGCAGTTCTAATGGTATTGCAGTGATCAATGTTGAGGCATCGCGCAATACCCCCCATTAACTGCTGGGACCCAGAGTAATCGCTCCCCAGGAGCGATCTCTTCCGAGTTGCACCACGTGGTGCCTGGCAGTGTAGTGTAGGGCTTCTGAAGCCATCAGGCAGGCTTCTGATGCTCTGCCTCTACTGAGTGCATCGAGGGGTAAAATAAAAATTAACCCTTTAAGGACCAAATTTCTGGAATAAAAGGGAATCATGACATGTCACACGTCATGTGTCCTTAAGGGGTAAATAAATAAAAATGAATCCCTCTCCCGTACTTGCCGATCTCTTTTGTCATACTAAGTGTGTGTTTTTTATTAATATAATTACATTGGCCAACTTCAAAAATGTCCCAAATAAGACATGAAGACCAGCTTTGAAAATTCCAAGTTGGAAAACTAGAATGTGCACCCTCCAAATAAGGTCTTTTATCCCCCAGAGAACCTGACACACCTATACATGGGTGGTATCTCTGTACTCAGGAGATGATGCTGAACACATATTGGGGTGTTCTTTAGTAGTAACACTTAAAATTCTCAGTACATGTCTTCTTAAATTGATATGTGTGTCAAAAAAAAATAAAAAAAATAAAAAAAAATATATATATATAATTTTTTTTTTTTTGGCATAGATTGGTGGTAAAATGGCTGGTTATTCAGGGATTCCAGACAGATATCAGTGTTACAATGTAATTTGAGTTCATTTGGGGGGGGGGAGGGGGAAATGGTTTGAATATAGCAAAGTGTTTGTACTTATGGCCCTATTGCTTTCCAAAATAAGCGAAGAACATGTTAACCTTGGGTATTTCTAAATTTAGAAACTATTTAGCATGGGTGTTTTTTGGGCGGTTGTAGATGCGTAACATCTGGGTGTGTGGTTGTTTGTGTTTTTTTTTTCTTTTAGAAAGACCATATAATGGTGAGAAATTGTATATAAATATATGGGTACAGTAAATGAGGAAGAGGCAAATTACAGCTAAACACAAACACAGCAGAAGTGTAAAAACAGCCCTAGTCCTTAACGGTAAGAAAATGGAACAGTCTGGTCACTAAGGGGTTAAGTACATAATATAGTGGAGTACTTCAGGTTGCATGGGGAGCGCTGGTAAGAGATTTAAAAAAAAAAAAAAAAAAAATTCTTATTTTTTATGTAATAAAAAATTGGTAAAAGAGAAGCACTGTTGGCAGGACATTAGTTGTGAGATGGACATTTGTGTTTACAGGAAGGATGTGACCAATTCTATTTGTAATGCATAATGTGCATAACAATGGATACAAATATCAGAATCAAATACCTTGAAAATAATATAAATACTTTTTGATGTTTCTGCATTAGCCACAACTAATCATGCTGTGCAGCATCTAAAGTGCGTTGTTGCCAAAAGAGGAAGTGACTGACTGCTGCTTGTTTAACGTTTGATAGTACGGTTTTTGCTTTTAATGTCCCACGCAGTGCTTATGGCCACTACTAAAGTTTCTGGGAGTTGTAGTTAAATCTATAATTTACAAGGTGGTGTGGGAAAAAAGGAAACACTGCAGGTTGGCACGGGCACAAAGAATAGGCCTAAGAAGGAAACCGAAATCTTAAAGTTGGGAACAAAACCAACTATCTCTCGTGTTTACGATGTCTCCGTCAGAATTTCGGAACACTGAAGCTATTCAGCGGAGCATGTTCCGTGTTTTAAGTACAATCCATTTATCTAGCGATCAAGACTTAAACACTGCTGCTTATTTTAACTTCCCAAAAGATTATCTGCTGAGACCTACACGGTTTTGCAAATGTCAGTGGATTCTGACACTGTACATATTTCTATGTAACCAATGGTGTGAAACCCCTTTAAACCCTTCCCTGTTCCTCCTGCTTTTTATTGAAGTCCTTTTGGGAATGACCCTTCCAGGAGTTATATGCAAAAAGAGAATATGGAACATTTCATTAATGAAGTCATGTGAAAAGCTAGAATGTTGTTTTTAATCCATCTTTGGTATAACCATGGGCTTGCGGTGACATTTTCCTTCTCTGCCAGCACACAGGAACCGAGGGCTGCTGATGGAACACGCGTTACTAAACGATGAACGTAAGTATTCTGCTGGTGGATTTTCAAGGTGCGGAATAAATGGTAGTTTTAATCGGTTGAATATTGGGTTAACTACTGTTGGGTCAGCTTCCCATCTGCTCCCTTCTCCTGAAAATACCATGATGTTTGTATGTACGCTGCTGCAAATGTTTTTGTTAATTCAGTGTGATCACTCTTGATCACCCTTTCCATAGATGGTCTGATAGCAAATATTGTGCTTGCGTATTTGTACGTGATCCCACTACATCCTGTTTAAAAACCTCTAATATAAGGTTTGAGAAGTGCCATTTTTTTTTTTCTCGCGTTTTATTATAGGGCCTTATTTTTAGTCCTCTTTAAGGAAAGCTAGTAATTCCCCCAAACATTGTCTTCTCTCCTCCTCCTCTTGGAATGGCTTGCTTAATGACGGCTGGTTTTACTCTCTCCGAATGCCTGTCTTTATTATTTCTTCCTTACCGTAACTATTCAAAGTCTGAATCCAAAAGTGTGCCAAGTCACAAGGATGACCATCCCTTTCTTTTTATTTTCCCAAAAACGATCTGATCCACATCTATTCTGGCTTCTGATGGAGATCTATATCACAGAATTAAACTGTCTATATTCGAAACATCCCGTATTTATAGGTTCATTGTTTTTGGTTGCTTTATTATACTTTAAGTTGGTGAATTGGCATCATGCACTTGTATAATTTATCTTTCTCCTTTTTTCAGATACCTTGAAGGAGATTCAGAGCACTCTGGAAGGATCAAGAATGTAAGTCTGTCATAGATTTATTATGAACACCCGTTGTGATCTCATTCTGGAACGCCTCATTCTGGTCCTCCTGCTCTCTTTCCAGTCTCTTCACGGATTTGTCCTGTTTGGGGTTGCCATCAATCAATTCTTCAGCATGGAGTCTGTACTGAAGAATTAATTGATTATTATTGTATTATATTGGGTTTTTCTCCGAATATATACACCTACTAGCACAAATTTATATAGCTGAAATTTGCTGAACTTTAGAAAGCGCAATATTGGTTTTGGGCATAACAGGTACTCTTTAAAATAAATTCCTTAGACCATGGTCTATCCTTCCATTGTTGGAAACAGGCATTATTAAACGCTGCTGAATAGGTAAAAAATAGTAAAATTTGTTCTCCGCTTTATTTTCACAATAAATGAAACCTTCCCAAAAAAAGAAACAGATGTGCTCTTACTTTGTCCTGCTGGGCAGGGGAAGCAGCAACTGCTGAGAATCTGGACGTTAATCAGATTCATCGGTCTCTGCAGATCTAGTAAGTAGCTGCAGGTGTGCATTGGGAGAAAAATAATAAACTTTATTCAGTAACTAATGTTGTTGGCATTAGTTAAGACAGCTGCCGATTCTGGGTTCCCCAAGCCAGGTTTGTGCTTCCAGACTATCTATTTGGCACTATCCAAGCCACTGTTGGATGTGACAACTATCATATTGAGGAGACTTTCTATTGGGCTTGGGCATTTTTGAGGCCAGGAGGACTAATGCCCTGCATGATCAGGATAGTGTCATGTGGAGGAGGCGATGTCTTTCACAACTGAGTATTCCCAGTTAGTTTCATGCATCTAAGGCAGCGCATTTCACAACAGATGATTCCCAGGCTCAGTATGACTCCAACAGTGCTGATCTTATCCCAGTGCGTGTGGAAGCCATAGGTTCCTCTATATAATCCCTCTCCGCTGCTAAGATGTATTGTGAGCTACAGTGTGTCTTCATACTGGCACAGACAAAACAGCCAAACTGAGAACCTGACCGAGTTTGAAGATTTTCCAGTTTGGCTATTTTTATAAAGATATATGTTTTGGAATAAAGTGCCATTGAAATGTCAGTTGCCAACATTTTATATAACTAAATGATAAGTTAATTGCTAAGAATCAAAGAAAATCCACAATAAATTATTTTATTTTTTTGGACTCAAAATAAGAAATTCTTAAATATGACAAAACCAAAGTGCTTGATTTTTAACTTGACTGCTGATGTTTGTATACTTTGTCACTTGTCCATAATGCTTTGCAAGGCTCGTGAATCCCTCTTTAGAACTATCAGCAGATCTGTCTTTTAGCATTTAAAGCTGACTACTGTCAATCCTTGGATAAATTTCAAACTGCCCTTTCTGGTGTGACATAGCCAGTCTGCTTGTAATATGAAACAAGCGATCATGAGCATTCAGCGGGATATGTCTCTTGTTTTTTCAGGAGCTACGACGAAAGAAATTCCAGACAGATCCGAGTTGGAAGCAGACTAAGCAATGGAGCAGGTATGGACTTTTTTTTTTTTTTTTTTTGTCCCCTATGCACTCTTTAAAGTGTTGAGTACATGCAAAACTTTTGGGAAAAATTTAAACCAAAACCTAAGTCTTTCTACCTTATTGTTTCTCTTGCGCATGCAGAATAATGGGTAGTTTAATCTGTTGGTCTAGCGTTGTACGCGGCCCAACAGAAACACCATTCTGGACATGGCAACTAATGTCTTCACTGCCAGTGATTGGTTCCCTTTGCCTTTTTATAAAATGCTGTAGCTGACTGGCTACATTATGTATCTTTTATTTAGCTAAATAGTCATTTGAATTATGAATGTATGTCTTCTTAATTCTTTTGAAGAGCTACAACAATAGTTGGAAGAAAAAAAAGTTTAATTGGGAGTGGCAAACAATCCCCAATTTATTTATAAAATATGTTCTCATTTTACCAGGGTACATATAAGGATACATTCAGATTTCTCATGCTCAAGTTATGGGCCAAAAAACACTGCATTGTTACAATAGGATACTATATTTAAAAAAAAAAATATATATATATATATATATATATATATATATAATTTTTTTTTTTGTGTATATATATATATATATATATATATATATTTTTTTTTTTTTTTCTTTTTTTCACACAAAATGGGTAAGAAATCTAGTCAACCATGATTACAGGTGCATTCTGTATTGAGAGATGTTGACAGATCTCTTAAAAGATTTTAGACTGGGAGAAGATTTAAATTTGTCCGGGAGGTTATTCCATAATTGCGGTGCTCTGTAGGAAAATGAGGATCAAGCTGCTTTATTTTTGTATTACGGTATGCTAAATAAAGTGCTTGTATTGGATCAGAGGTTTTAGGAGGTGGGAACAGCTGGGGAGAGCATTCTACACTGATAGGGTGGGAACTTCCCAGAAAAGCTCTTAAACTGGCTGGAATCAGGCACAGCTTATAATATTCTAATTCCATTTCCTCCTTTATCCCTTGTGAAGCAGAATGAAATGCCTGACAGGACCTGCCAATACCATGCTGACTTTTTGGGTTTCCAAACCCAGTGCCATTACACTACAATACCTGGAGCCGGGCATGCTGCAAGACGTTTCCTTTACTTCTTCGGACTCTTCCTTTGGCCATATATCTGCACACACCTTTTTATTGCTGTTTTTTTGGAGAAAATTGTTTTTAAGTTATAAATCGTATTGCCTTACTGTCTGTGCAGAGTACCCACCGTAGAAAATGAGTTTTATTTTATTGTAATTTTAAAAAATTTATTATTTTAATTTTTTTTTTTTTTTTTTAAATTGTCCACTGTGGTATAAAAATAAGATATTTTGCATTTTATTGGAGTATTTTTAGCATCAATTGTTTTATACGTTGTATAAGGCAGGGTGTGCTTTCATGACAAAATACCAGGAACCCATTCTGTGACTGGGCTGCCTTACAGTCTATTTTTGTAGAATGTAACAATTTGGTTGTTATGTAAGTGTATGTGGCCAATAAATATGAACACTTGCCTTAATGAGCTTATGGCGGTCTATTGGATTTGGTAAATTCACTGTTGCAAAACTTCATAATACGTTGACTTAACCTTCACTTATGACTTGTGTTCTATTTTGTGCAAGTAATGTATGCTCTGGTCATAAAGATTGCAGCAAGGAGACGTTCTGTCTGGGTTATTAACTAAAGCAGGAATTCAAACTGATTTTCAAATTAAAAGGGTTAATATATATATATATATATATATATATATATATATATATATATATTTTAATTTTTTTTTGCTTAAAGTAACTTTGCTGGCCTGGTCCTCCCCTCCCAACCTTTTTAACAAGCAAAACATTGTGGAGACCAAGTCCTCCCTCAGCCAATTACTTCCTCCGCTGCAGTCACTCCTCCTCACTGGAGGGGGAATGAGGTCATGGAGAGCTGGCTGATGGGAGACTAGGGGCAGCATGGAAAAGGCCAGCATCAGATGCCAATTTTACACACAGCTGGCATTAGCCGTGCTAGTTCCAGGCTGGCTGATGCTGCCGGAGGTGGAGTTACACCGAAGCAGAGCGGTTAATCTCTGTATGTGGAGAGTTTCAAAGCAAAAATCTACACATACAGACTCCAGGCACCATAACCACTTCAAATCAATGAAATGATCATGGTGCTTGGAGTAACCTTTTTAAGCCAAACTGGAAACCTCCAAGTAGGCTGTGCTTCCAGCGTAGCCAAAAAATGTGAAATTCACACTTTAGAGCATAACCCTGTATGCAATGCTCATGAAAAGAGTTGAAAAAGAACATCTAGAAATGTTGTATTAAATCTGATTGCAATCGTGCCCCCACCCTCAGGGCCCCACTCCTGTGGCGCTGAAGGGGTTAATACCTTACCTTTTTTTCCCAGCGCCGGGACTCTACTCCCTCTTCTGAAGTCACTGGCTGCACGCGCGCATTCAGCCAGTCTCATAGGAAAGCATTGTCAATGCTTTCCTATGGATGCTGGCGTCTTCTCACTGTGAAAATCACAGTGAGAAGCGCGGATTTGCTATGTTTACAGCAAATAGGGTTAAACCTAGCTGGACCTGGCACCCAGACCACTTCATTGAGCTGAAATGTTCTGGGTGCCTATAATGGTCCTTTAAAATATAAACTCTTCCCCACATATTGGTGCCAGATAGTACTACACTATCAAATCTTTTGTGTCTCATTGATTATTGAAAATCTATGGGGATACAGCCAATTCAGTTGTTATAAGCTTTGTCTTTTGCACTTGCCAATTAATGGAGAGAGGTGGGAGTAGAAATCAATTGACTGTGTGTTCTTCAATACACTGTACCAGGGCTAACCTGCATCGTAATGTCATTTGCTAAATCTATAATACGTTAAAGAGAACTGATCTTCATGCAGGGTGAGTTAATGAAAGTCATTGGTGACTTTCAATGGTATAGACCTGTGAGCTTAACTTCTGGGAAAGTATTTTTGTTATTAAGGGATGATTTTCAGGAATTCATTGGGAAGAACATTAGCAAAAAATCAGCATGGTTTTCTGAAACATGTTTGTCTAGTATAGATCTAGTATAGATCAGGATGTTGCAGTGAATGCAATTTGCTTTGATTTTTTTTTTTCCAAGGCATTTGATATGGTTCCACACAACAGGTTAGTGTTCAAACTAAAAGAAAATTGGTCTATATATGAATTCTTGTTCTTGGGTAGAACATTGACTTAAAGGCAGAGTACACAGCGTTGTTGTTAATGGTAAATCTTCAATTTCTCAAGCTGGACAAAAGTGGTGTTGCTCAGGGATCTGTTATGGGACCGCTTCTAGTTTTAAAGTGTTGTGTGGTTTTTTGTTTTTTTTTTTGTTTTTTTTTTTAAATATAAATGAAACATGACTTTCAATGTGTATTCAAGATCAGTGTTTGCAGATGACACAAAACTAGCTAAGGAAAGTCCATATGAGCAGGTTATTACTTTGCTGCGGAGGTATTTAGATATATTGGGGGACTGGGCACTCAAATTACAGATTAAATTTAATTTAGATAAATGCAACATTATTCACATGGGGTAAAGAATCCACAAGCAATTTAAACCCTGAATGGTAGTGAATTACAGAGAAGAACAAATCTGATCTATTATACAAATATATATTTGGGCCAATACAAACTATTTGTAAACAGGACTAGACATCGGACACAAGGTCGCGCATTTACACTGGGAGAATGGAGATTTAATCTAAGGAAAGGGTTGCTTTTTGTTTACTGAAAAAAGTGGAATTCTGTACCTGAAGAGATTTACAGTCTGTACACATTTTATACTGCAACTGGATGAATAATTGCAAAAACATTATTCAGGAATATCCTTTTTAATTTGTATGGTAATGGCTTTTTGATCCAGATCTGCAATTCTGAATTCAAGAAGGAATTTTTGGAATGTTAAAAAAAAAAAAAAAAAAAATTCAAAAACCGATGTGAGAAGCTGAACTTGATGGATGCAAGTCTCTTTCATTATGTAACTATAATTTACAGATCCGTGATTTACCTTTTCAAATCAAGGATAGCTGTGCTATCTATATAATGTTTTTTTTTTTAATGTATTGAACAATAATTAAAACATGGCAAGAAAGGAGTTCAAGAGAAACCTGTTGGTAGGTGTGGCTGTGTCCAAAGGTGGATTTAACAATCTAATGCAATTTAATTGCGTTTAGCCTGTAAATGACACTGCACCTTTATTCGGTCTCCTGTTACTCATTAACCTTTTTGTTGCTTCAGGGCAAAGCATTTTAAAGAGAAGCCTTGTTTACATTTGTTTACAGTATCTTGTCTTTATCATTCTCCGATCATTTTAACACTACATGTGGAAATGGATTACCCATATAATAACACTGTCATCAATGTGCAAAATAATATATCTAATACAAAAGTTCAGAGATAAGCGGCAACTCTTCTTCTTTTGAAGAACAGCTGATCTTTTCTTGTGTTAGAAATACCCATCACAACGATCACAGGAACAGTTCATCCCAGCATGCAAATGCATTGCACACATGCATAGCCGAGCTAAAAATATTTACACACCCTTACAGAAATAGCTTTTTCACAGAATGGCCAACACCGTTAAATGATTGCAGACCTCCCCCCCCCCACTCTCCCCTTTAAGCAGGGGTTCATGGCAATTGCCCGCCTCTTAAGTTTAACTCCGCTGAGCTAAACAACCAGAAAGTAACAGGACCCACCTGGGGTGGGGGTGTGGGGTAACAAAGTTTATAGAAGTGCCAATTTCTCTTGAACTCTGCACTTCTTGTAAAAAAAATAAATAAAAAAAAAATAAAAAAAAAAAGGTCGGGCTGAAGAAGACACACTCTTAACAAATAAAGCATTTCAGCAAAAGTGCTTTAGTGGTTTGGAGTGTCCCTTTAACTTTCAGTAAAGTCTTGTAATCAACCGTAGTAAAGCGGGAGAGAATGGATAATTTCATGGGAGAAGCGTCCATACCATTCTTGGATTTCGTAGAATATACCTGTTGTTTTTATTTTTATTTTTTATTTTTTTCTCTCTCCTTATGATTTTGCTAGACTTCTGCACAAATGCTATTCAGCTAGTACAAATTAATTAACAAATTCCATTTAATATACATCAAATCGATTTCTACCCCCTCACCTGGCACCTGTGACAGGGAGGGGTGCAAAACTAAGGAGTTGACCTGGGACTCCCAAATAAATATATAAAATAAACCAAGAGGGCTGCACTCACCTGAACATGCATACATTATAGGGTGCTGCTGGGGCCAACATATACAGAATACAGCGCACTCGCTTATTCACTAAACAATGATTTCAGATCCTACAGATTGTAATCGTTTTATTTAAAAACACCTCACCTAGGCAAAAGATAATGGGGGTTTAGTTACACTATATGATCATACATTACATAAGCCTGCCACAACATCAATGTACCCCATTCTTGGTAGGTCCTACTCTAGCAGCCTAATGCTTGCTCTTATGAGAGTGTGACGTTGTGGCCTCTAAATTACAAAACCAATGTTAATATTTCATGCCTCAGAAGGGTTTTGTGTATTGTGACTTTTTGGTCTTTTATGATATTGGCTTAAAGCGACTATGTCACCATCTGAAGTCTTTGCATATACGCCGATGGTGTAGGGGAATGTACGTTTTATTTACCTGAAACTGTGACTTGTAGCTGCTGCCGTGACCATCTTTTGGATCTTCTTCAGGCCCTTGAACTCCTCCTGCCAGAAGCCCACGTTCGTGCTGTACTCTTGGTGTGTGCAACAATAAATATATTGTAAGAAATTTCCTTTTTTTTTTTCTTTTTCTTTTTTCTCATTTATATTTTTATTGGGTTTAAATAATTATTATATAATAAATATACTGCAAATGGTACAGTAAACCAAGGCGAAATGGTTAATACATACAATGTTAGACAAGAAAAAAGAAATTATCTACCATCTATATATTCAAAGCTTATTATAAATACTCATTCAAACACCAAACTCCAT